ACGTTCAAGATAAAGTGAAAAATAGAAATTTCAGAGAATAATGTTTTTTTCATGAGAAATATTTTGGCTACAGAAGGAAAACGATGCCAGCGAGGAGAGACAGAACAAGGGAGCAAACTCTTGTCGCCTTCTGTAGCCCATTTCGCTGCTGACACTGATGCGTTCTTGAACGTAAAATCAACGGAATATCGTGTTGCCTGCCCAGCATGTGACGATAAGGGGCCTGACTCGGAGAGTGTGGGTTCGAATCCCGCACGAGACTCAACCTAACAAATAGCACTGGAATCCGTACTTTACTGAGAAAGTTTAATTCCAAATATAACCTATGTTACATTTGACCTCTTTCTAAATGACATTGTATATTCATGCCATAGTATTGCGCAGCTTTGGACAATGTCAATATTCAGTTCTGATGAGGTGAGGGAAGTCTAATACCGAATAAGGTAACGAATGGGTGAGTGAGGATGGGTTCATGATCTTTTGAACTGTACTTCACTTATACTACTGCATTTCAGATGTTGGAGTGAGTGAGTGAGTGAGTGAGTATAGGTTTACGCAGCACTCAGCAGTTTTCCAACTATATGGAGGCAGTGTGTAAATAATCGAGTCTGGACCAGACAATCCAGTGATCAACAACATGAGCATCGATCTACGCAATTCGGATACGATGACATGTATCAACCAAGCCATCGAGCCTGACCACCCGATCCCGTTAGTCACCTCTTCCGACAAGTATGGGTCACTGAAGACCAATTCTAACGAGACTGGTGGAAACCAAAAACGGTAATGGTGCTACCAACACAAATACCTTCGTTGGGGGTACACATATATTTATAAGTGTTATCATGAAAGCATTTCATCATGAGTAAGTACACATAAAAGTCAAGGCCAGAGATTAACCAGTCTCGCTTATCCGCCGGAACAGATATCAGGGAGCGTGAAATGTAAAATATCGGTGACATGAATATGTATTGGTTATTGAAAATCAGTTCTGACACGGGGTGCTAGCGAAAATATGACAAATAAATTAATAAGAATAAAGTTTATTTCAACAGCACACATCAGTGACTATGAAACAATAAATATACACAAGTCTAAATGATCTTTAATCACAGAATAACAACATTGCATTGATTTTGTTCGTTCGGGGTTATTTAACGGGTCTATACAGAGAAGCAGTATCATCAGAATTAACATATATGTACACAATCCATGTGCAATGCACCGTTTATTCTTCAAAGTATACCATTAAAAAAAGTAGGGGATATTCCATTTTGCGAGCATACCACTAGCCAATGCCAATGCATATGAGAAAAAGTAATCTATATCCATACAGATGAAATATTTCAAAGGAATGGAATAAATAGTCACATTTTCCCTTAATTTCTCTTCATCATCTGTTTCCTCCTTGGCTTTATCATTTGCATTTTATCAATCTTGTAAATGCAATATCCCTTACTTTTTTTGATGGTATATATAAGCATAGTATTGGTATGAAGTACAGGACATCACAAAATATACACATATGCTTAATGGTGGATAAACATGAAACAACAACAAATTCGGTGGGGATGCATTTCATATGGACATCATAGTTTTGGATCTTAAATTGTAGTTCTTCAGTGGCCGGTTTCAGCCAAGCACTGTTTTGATTACGTTTGTAATGTTTTGGTCAAATCCAGAAATTAATTGTGTGCAAATCTGCCCGGTTCGGTCCGGCTCTTGTTTCGGGTTTATCTTCACCTAATATATACATATAATCCAAACCAATTATCCAGAATTTGGCGGGAGACACTGCTATGTTCATGCTAAGGTTCTTGTGCATATCTAGACACAGCGATTCTGTTATTCTGTGTCTGACTGAATTACAATATCACGGATATATTAGGTTTCCATACAAACCCATAAATGTTTGGTAAACTTTCAGCAATAGCGTCCAAAATGAAAACATAATTAGCTTAAAAATACAACAAATCAACCAATCAAAACAATTCTTTGTAAGATGTACTGTTATTTCTATGGGATGGCGACATGTCACTATGACAAGAGAACACGACAGCAAAACATGGGTAGCTTTACCACAAAGGGAAAATACTCATAAACCAGGTTATCTATTTTAACTGCAATCAATATAACCAAGCACATATACAACCAACCAATCAACCGGTGTGTAGTAGATGGAAGGAGTTGCGTAAATACTTCGAGTTACCCATGATTCGACACAAACGCAAAATAATGACTAAATACAGAACTCGAAGGGACTACACTTTTACTTCGAGACAACCGTACCTTAGACCGATCACCGTTCGACATATCGGTGTTTATTATCCATATGGTGAAACATAACCAGTGTCATATATCTCATATGTGCACATGTGCACATATCACTTTTGCCTAGCAACCATTGTTTGTCTATTTCGTCGTCTGTGACGTCACTTAAACAATTGAATGTGACGTCAATGGACAGGGGAAGTCACACTTGCTTACCGTATTTTAGTGCACAAATGTTCATAAATAAAATGGATAATAAAGAAATTATTACACTCGCAAGTGTACCACACGACTTATACGAAACTCGTGCAAAATTGTGTATTGCCCTCGCTCTTGCTCGGGCAATACACAATTTCACATCGTTTCGTATAAGTCGTATGACACACTTGCTCGTGTAATAATCTCTATTTATTACCTACGAGGGCGAAAATATCGGGGTTCATATTTTTCATACGATGCCCTTGGGCAAAATATCACTTTGTCAAGGTGACGTGACGTCATGAACAATGTTATGACGTCATGTTTCTTCTATGACGTTGCGTTCTACATGCGGCGACCTCGGGTAGCCAGCCTATGTTTGAAAGTAGATTTGGGTTTATTTTCCTCTATTTGACGACTTCGGTAATATATAGAATATTATATTCGTGCCCATATCATACTATGTTTACGACACTCGTGCCTAATTATCGGTATATTCCTCGCTCTCGCTCGGAAAATACCAACATTTAGGCACTCGTGCCATAAACATAGTATGACATGGGCACTCATATAATATTCTCTATCTATCTATACGTAGAAATATTTTGACACACTGGAAAGCTTAGTTAACTAAAACACAGATAGTCAGACAGTAATAGGTTTAAAGTTATGCTTGTTGCTTGCACTGGAGGTCTTTAGAATAAACACGGTAATCTACGGTTATAACATGCACAATGGTTATAACAGTATTTCGTTTTATTCATCTCGTCTGAGATATAGAGCAAATGGTTGGGACGAAAAAGATGGTTCGATTTATGTGCCAGTACATAAATATCTTAAAAATAGATACTATTAGAATTGAAGTATGCATCGAGCTATGCACTTTCTACTAACAATTGAAGCACAGGCGTACGGTTGTTTACTTACAAGACCTTTCTTGAACAGCGAGCCACGTGACTCATCATGACCCGTGTTTGTACTACCGCCATTGATAACGCATACCGGCGTACCACCCATGACACATGTAATCACAGGTCAAGGTTACAGGCTCTCAGCCAATCAGCGTGAAGTCGTAAGTTATTTACGATGGCGTGACAGACCATACAACCTGTACATAATAATAGCTTATTTAGGCCATGGAAAGTAGTATTTTGTTTGTTTCTCTATTGAATCAAGTTCAAACTTTTCTCGTAATAATGTTTCATATATTTCATATGAGTGTAAATATTAAGCAGAATAATCTAGTCTATGTTCCTTAATATATGGCTACGCACGCAACGTAAATGGTTTGGTTAATTGGGGATTAACCGCCGTTGCAATAATAGCTTATCATCTGAAAAGTTGTAAGTGCTTGTTTCTCTGTTGAATCAAGTACAAAAGTTTCCCGTAATAATGTTTCATATATTTCATGAGTGTAAATATTAAGCAGAATAATCTTGTCTGTGTTCCTAAATATATGGCTACGCAACGTAAATGGTTTGATGGTTTGGGGATTAATCGCCGTTGTTCACATCTGGTAAATGGCAGATTAGGAAGTTTGATCATGAAACGTGTAACGTCTAATCTGTCTCCAGATCCTCGAGAATAAAATTGAAAAAGAGCCCAGTTTAAACCTGAAATTGCTGGAATAGACTCGATTGGTTCAGCCTCCAATTATGAATTGTTCCTGGATCCTTTTAATGTTGTTTTTCTTTAAAAACGATACATATTTCTGGGGTTATATATCAAATCTACCTTAAGTCCTGCAGAGGGAGTGGGGTGAATGTGTGTGCATGTGTGTGAGTGAGAGCGTGCGTGTGTTTTTGTGTAAACAACAACTTAGTGACAATCGCTACATGTATCTACCGCAAAACTACAGAAACTAGGACTAGTTGACTCGTAAATGGTATTAAACCGGACACATGTCATCTGTCAAAAATAACACCTGGTACTCAGACGCCAAGTCAGACACCACCCTTGCATAGAAGGAAAAACGGCATGATTTGCCACTAGGGAGGGCACTGTCACAACACACCACCCGCCCCTGGTTAATCACAGAGCGATTCGGAATAACAAAAATCACTCGTTGAGTTTGCAGCGTTCATGGGCCACGTCCTAATATGTACTGAGCGAAAACTAACATCTGTCACTTATATGTTGAATTATCCGACCTTCGAGACAAGCGGAGTACGATAAGGCAATGGTGAGGATAAGGTGTATTGTGGGGTCGTCGTCAATAGAATATAGTGTGGTGGTTACAAGGCAGGCAAGTTACATATAAATGACTCAAAATGTGACCCTTTGTAAAGCCAACAGCTGACATCTACGTGATTTGTTGCGGAAGAGATACATGGAATAGCGAGGCGGCTGCGTCAACAGGGATAGTGACATCTACAGGCGGATGTATACTAGTCATAGCGGAACAAATTACTTACTTAAATATGTATTCATTACTACCTGGTAACACGCATCATTGCATCAAAAGAAGTTAAGGAATATCCGCGTTTTGAATATTTTTCTATTTTGTTTGTTGTGCCATGACATTAACTATCGTTAATAGATATTGGTTGTTCTTAAATGTCTCGTGTGTGGCATATACAATCCATATTTGGCTGCCAGGCATCACTCAGAAATTTGAAACTGAAAAGGTTTCACAAGAAAGCTAATGCTGAAGCACACATCTTCACCTGAAATTAAAATATTAACATATTACTGAAAAATAATATAAAAACCACACTTCAATGCATGGGCCTATATTCATTTTAACAGAACGTCTGCACAATATTCATGTAATGGCAGGAATAAATTAAAAACGACAATGTTGTCATCACTGTACCTGACCTTTCTGTGTTAAGTCCAATAACAATATCACTCTCTCAACACACACATACTGGGACACACACAGGCAGACAGGCGCACACGCACACGCACACGCACACACCGGGTTCGATTCCTCACTCGGGTGCAATGTGTATAGCCAGATTTCTTATGTACTTCGCCGTGATACTGCTGGGATATTGCTGGGATGTTGCTGTCAGTGGCGTGAAGCAATACTGACCACTGACTCAATATTTACACACGCACACACAGGTCCACCAACATATACACAAACACACACGCACACACAGGCCCACAAACATACACACAAACACACACAGGCCCACAAACACACACGCACACAGAGCAATCAGCAGCAGTGATACAGTAACCATGAAACAATCATATAAAAGTCAAAATTTATACTTTCTCAAAAACAATATGACATCCTCATTATGAACTCGGGTGAAAAGGCGGCCAATCTTGTGAATCTTGTAGGCGTTGACCTGTAAAGATCCCTCGGTGGCTACCAAGACAGACTGTCTTCCTGGAAGGTGAGTTTCGGGCTGTGTTCGGAGTAGAACTGCGAGTACCATCGTCTGTGTTTAGCTATGGTGCTGTCTTCTTTTGATCGAGCAAATATTGGTTTATTCTGGTACATTTTATTATTCCATATCATGATGTCCCTTTCAACCTGAAACACAATGGAATACGTACTAAAACACAATGGAATACGTACTGAAACACAATGGAAGACGTACTGAAACACAATGGAAGACGTACTGAAACACAATGGAAGACGTACTGAAACACAACGGAAGACGTACTCAAACACAACGGAAGACGTACTGAAACACAACGGAAGACGTACTGAAACACAATGGAAGACGTACTGAAACACAATGGAAGACGTACTGAAACACAACGGAAGACGTACTGAAACACAACGAAGACGTACTGAAACACAATGGAAGACGTACTGAAACACAGTGAAAGACGTACTTAAACACAATGGAAGACGTACTGAAACACAATGGAAGACGAACTGAAACACAACGGAAGACGTACTGAAACACAATGGAAGACGTACTCAAACACAACGGAAGACGTACTGAAACACAATGGAAGACGTACTGAAACACAACGGAAGACGTACTGAAACACAACGGAAGACGTACTGAAACACAACGGAAGACGTACTGAAACACAATGGAAGACGTACTGAAACACAATGGAAGACGTACTTAAACACAATGGAAGACGTACTGAAACACAATGGAAGACGAACTGAAACACAACGGAAGACGAACTGAAACACAATGGAAGACGTACTGAAACACAATGGAAGACGTACTGAAACACAATGGAAAACGTTCCGAAACACAATGGAAGACGTACTGAACACAATGGAAGACGTACTGAAACACAATGGAAGACGTACTGAAACACAACGGAAGACGTACTGAAACAACGGAAGACGTACTGAAACACAACGGAAGACGTACTGAAACACAACGGAAGACGTACTGAAACACAACGAAGACGTACTGAAACACAATGGAAGACGTACTGAAACACAGTGAAAGACGTACTTAAACACAATGGAAGACGTACTGAAACACAATGGAAGACGAACTGAAACACAACGGAAGACGAACTGAAACACAATGGAAGACGTACTGAAACACAATGGAAGACGTACTGAAACACAATGGAAGACGTACTGAAACACAATGGAAGACATACTGAAACACAATGGAAGACGTACTGAAACACAATGGAAGACGTACTGAAACACAACGGAAGACGTACTGAAACAACGGAAGACGTACTGAAACACAACGGAAGACGTATTTAAACACAAAGGAAGACGTACTGAAACACAACGGAAGACGTATTTAAACAAAATGGAAGACGTACTGAAACACAACGGAAGACGTACTGAAACACAATGGAAGACGTACTTAAACACAACGGAAGACGAACTGAAACACAATGGAAGACGTACTGAAACACAATGGAAGACGTACTGAAACACAACGGAAGACGTACTGAAACACAACGGAAGACGTACTGAAACACAATGGAAGACGTACTGACACAACAGAAGACGTACTGAAACACAACGGAAGACGTACTGACACAACGGAAGACGTACTGAAACAAAATGGAAGACGTACTGAAACACAACGGAAGACGTACTGAAACACAATGGAAGACGTACTGAAACACAACGGAAGACGTACTGAAACACAATGGAAGACTTACTGAAACACAATGGAAGACGTAAAGACGTACTGAAACAAAATGGAAGACGTACTGAAACAAAATGGAAGACGTACTGAAACACAACGGAAGACGAACTGAAACACAATGGAAGACGAACTGAAACAAAATGGAAGACGTACTGAAACACAATGGAAGACGTACTGAAACACAATGGAAGACGAACTGAAACACAATGGAAGACGAACTTAAACACAATGGAATACGTACTGAAACACAACGGAAGACGTACTGAAACACAATGGAAGACGTACTGACACAACAGAAGACGTACTGAAACACAATGGAAGACGTACTGACACAACGGAAGACGTACTGAAACACAATGGAAGACGTACTGAAACACAACGGAAGACGTACTGAAACACAATGGAAGACGTACTGAAACACAACGGAAGACGTACTGAAACACAATGGAAGACGTACTGAAACACAATGGAAGACGTAAAGACGTACTGAAACAAAATGGAAGACGTACTGAAACACAATGGAAGACGTACTGAAACACAATGGAAGACGAACTGAAACACAATGGAAGACGAACTGAAACAAAATGGAAGACCTACTGAAACACAATGGAAGACGTACTGAAACACAATGGAAGACGAACTGAAACACAATGGAAGACGAACTTAAACACAATGGAATACGTACTGAAACACAATGGAAAACGAACTGAAGCACAACGGAAGACGAAATGAAACACAACGGAAGACGAACTGAAACACAACGGAAGACGTACTGAAACACAACGGAAGACGTACTGAAACACAATGGAAGACGAACTGAAACACAACGGAAGACGTACTGAAACACAACGGAAGACGTACTGAAACACAACGGAAGACGTACTGAAACACAATGGAATACATACTGAAACACAACGGAAGACGTACTGAAACACAAGGAATTATTACCCACGTGGTCAACGTATGGGTAGTTGCATACTAATCTCGTACGTCACACGAGTGTCGTATCGCGTTGACCTGTGTCGTAACGACTTGACCTGAGATTCTAACGATTTGATTGGATAACCGATGACCTCTCAGTTAGGTCACGTTGTGACGGAACTACTTGTTCATTCATAACAAACACGTGAATTTATTCATTCTACAACTTATATGCATTGTGGGAATGTAACTATTGCGAACGTTGTCGTGTCGCTGTTTAATTGTGAGTCGAACTGAGACATTATATCCGTCGAAAAACATAAACGCAATGTTTCCACCAGTGATGTTAGCCGAGTAAAGCAGTTGCAAACCAAGAAACAGGTGCTACGAAGTAGTTTACTGTAGGAGGCTGTACGAGAGGCGATGACAACTGTCATGCATCGTGACGTCGGTTCCCAAGGGGACAGACGAGAATGGCGTAGTGACGTCAATACAGTGTGACGTCATGCAAAAGTGTACTACAGAACAAAATTCTTCTGCAACCTCTTAATAGAGAATACTACTCGAGGTCTCATTACATGCGAATTATACGAAACGAGTGTCCTTCCTGTGGTATCTGACACAGCGAAAGGGAGGTCAGAAACCATAGGAAGGTCACGAGTTTCGTATTATTCGTATGCTATAAGACTGAGTGTGGTATTTTATTTATTACCCACGTCTTACATGCATTAAATTGACAAATAGCGTATTTTTGTTATTTTTAAATAGTTAGAATCTCAGGTCAAGTCGTTACGACACAGGTCAACGCGATTCGACACTCGTATGACGTACGAGATTAGTATGCACCTACCCATACGTTGACCACGTGGGTAATACACATAAATACGCTTTTTTGTCAATTCAATGCATGTAAGACGTGGGTAATAAATAAAATACCACACTCGGTCTCATTACATACGAATTATACGAAACTTGTGACCTTCCTATGGTTTCTGACCTCGCGAGGTCAGAAACCATAGGAAGGGCACGAGTTTCGTATAATTCGTATGTAATGAGACCTCTTGTAGTATTCTCTATATACGTGCTAGATCACAAGGTTTAAAGTAGTGAAACATAACTGAAAAAAAGAAATAAGGAGAAACAACATTACTAATTACGTGGAAGACAGAAGGGAACAAGTACAAAAAATGAAACATCTGAACCAAGAATGAAGGACTGAAGGAAAGACTGAAACACAAAACAAGACTGGCACATTACGACCCAAGTTGTTAAATGCAACGAAACAAAGACTGACACCCACCTACAGAAGGAAAGAAAGAAAACGAAACAAGAACCGACACACAACGAAACAAGGGGGTGTAGTAGCCGTGTACATACTGAAATACTGAAACGTAATCAAACTCGAACTGAAATAGAAGAAATTCATTCCAAAACAACGAAACCGGTATGGAAACACGGCGAATCAAGTACTGAAACATAATGAAGTGAAATGTTGCAACCGGATGAAATAGCAACAGAAACAGAATGAAACAAGCCCACTGCAAAATGATCAAATAGGAACCGAAGGAGAATAAAACAAATCTAGCAACACGGCGACAACTACAACAGAATGAAAACAGTACTGTACCAAGATAAGAGATAATAAGAAACAAGAGCAGATATAGAATGAAACAAGCACTGCAACACCATGAAATAGGAACAGAAACTGAAACTATTCACGTTTACTACAGTTACCAGACAGTATTTACGTACAGTACTAGTCTGCCATACAGACCATCAAACAACATATCCAAGAAAGCCAATGCAAGTCTAGATTATGTGGCAAGTCTAGATTTGCACAGTTTCTGAAAATGAAGAAAATCTCAGGTCTCCTTTTCATTATATTATATTTTTTGTATTATGAACTCAGTCTGTTTTTCTGTAAAATATGTTCATTTCAGACACTAGTTGTTATTGTAGTACAGTACAGGAACCGACAGTATTCAGTGTGCATTACAGAATGAGGCAGTATCAACGAACATTACAGGAACCTGACAATTCACGTGCATTACAAGAATCGCGTACATGCAACAAGATGTATTGGGAACCGAAACAAGAATGCAGCAAGATGTATTGGGAACCGAAACAAGTCATGCAACATGATGTATTGGGAACCGAAACAAATCATGCAACACGATGTATTGGGAACCGAAACAAGTCATGCAACACGATGTATTGGGAACCGAAACAAGTCATTCAACACGATGTATTGGGAACCTAAACAAGTCATGCAACACGATGTATTGGGAACCGAAACAAGTCATGCAACACGATGTACTGGGAACTGAAACAAGTAATTCAACACGATGTATTGGGAACCGAAACAAGTCATTCAACACGATGTATTGGGAACCGAAACAAGTCATGCAACACGATGTATTGGGAACCGAAACAAGTCATGCAACACGATGTATTGGGAACTGAAACAAATCATGCAACACGATGTACGATGTATTGAGAACGAAACAAGTCATGCAACACGATGTATTGGGGAAACAAGTCATTCAACTGAAACAAACAAGTCATGCAACACGATGTATTGAGAACCGAAACAAATCATGCAGCACGATGTATTGGGAACCGAAACAAGTCATGCAGCACGATGTATTGGGAACCAAAACAAATCATGCAACACGATGTATTGGGAACCGAAACAAATCATGCAACATGATGTATTGGGAACCGAAACAAGTCATTCAACACGATGTATTGGGAACCGAAACAAGTCATGCAACACGATGTATTGGGAACTGAAACAAGTCATTCAACACGATGTATTGGGAACCGAAGCAAGTCATGCAACACGATGTATTTGGAACTGAAACAAATCATGCAACACGATGTATTGAGAACCGAAACAAGTCATGCAGCACAATGTATTGGGAACTGAAACAAATCATGCAACACGATGTATTGAGAACCGAAACAAATCATGCAGCACGATGTATTGGGAACCGAAACAAGTCATGCAACACGATGTATTGGGAACCAAAACAAGTCATGCAGCACGATGTATTGGGAACTGAAACAAGTCATGCAACATAATGTATTGAGAACCGAAACAAGTCATGCAGCACGATGTATTGGGAACTGAAACAAATCATGCAGCACGATGTATTGGGAACTGAAACAAGTCATGCAACATAATGTATTGGGAACCGAAACAAATCATGCAGCACGATGTATTGGGAACCGAAACAAGTCATGCATGCATTGGGAACCGAAACAATTCATGCAAAACGATGTATTGGGAACTGAAACAAATCATGCAACATAATGTATTGAGAACCGAAAACAAATCATGCAGCACGATGTATTGGGATGCAACACGATGTATTGGGAACTGAAACAAATCATGCAACACGATGTATTGGGAACCAAATCATGCAACACGATGTATTGGGAACCGAAAACAAGTCATGCAACATAATGTATTGAGAACCGAAACAAATCATGCAACACGATGTATTGGGAACCAAAACAAATCATGCAGCACGATGTATTGGGAACTGAAACAAATCATGCAGCACGATGTATTGGGAACTGAAACAAGTCATGCAACACGTGATGTATTGGGAACCGAAACAAGTCATGCAACACGATGTATTGGGAACTGAAACAAATCATGCAACACGATGTATTGGGAACCAAAACAAGTGATGCAACATAATGTATTGAGAACCGAAACAAATCATGCAACACGATGTATTGGGAACCGAAACAAATCATGCAACACGATGTATTGGGAACCGAAACAAGTCATGCAACACGATGTATTGGGAACCGAAACAAGTCATGCAACACGATGTATTGGGAACTGAAACAAGTCATGCAACACGATGTATTGGGAACCGAAACAAGTCATGCAACACGATGTATTGGGAACCGAAACAAATCATGCAACACGATGTATTGGGAACCGAAACAAGTCATGCAGCACGATGTATTGGGAACCGAAACAAATCATGCAACACGATGTATTGGGAACTGAAACAAGTCATGCAACACGATGTATTGGGAACTGAAACAAGTCATGCAACACGATGTATTGGGAACCGAAACAAGTCATGCAACACGATGTATTGGGAACCGAAACAAGTCATGCAACACGATGTATTGGGAACCGAAACAAGTCATGCAACACGATGTATTGGGAACCGAAACAAATCATGCATCACGATGTACTGGGAACCGAAACAAGTCATGCAACATGATGTATTGAGAACCGAAACAATTCATGCAACACGATGAAGCGGGAGTAGAATGAAACACAACTAAGTAGGAACAGCATCAGAATTAAACAAGTACTGTAGCACGGTGATCTAAGAACGGAAACAAACACTGAAACATTTAAAAACATACTGAAAAAAGATAAGGATTAGTAATCATTAACTGTATACAAATCAATGAAATACTCTACGGGTGAAATAAACTTCCACTCATTTATATAATGGAGATAATATTAATACAATTTATTGCAATAATATTCAAAACCCTACCTGAATTGCTTCAGCCATCATGTAGAACTTGGCCACGAATGTTGGCATGCGACTCTGCACGTAGATGTTGTGGATAAGCTTCTGTGTGATGGGTCCTACTGGGAGCAGGTTGTGTATGATGACGCCCTTGCCAAATATCCCGCAGTCCATACTCAGATACACAAATGCTGGACCTATCTGAAACATGAAGCAGCAATGTGTGTATGGCGATACCTCACTACCTCAATCGGGGATGACAGCTTAGTGGCTATAATGAGTAAGTGAGTATGGTTTTACGCCGCTTTTGGCAATATTCCAGCAATATCAGGGCGGGGGACACCAGAAATGGGGCTTTACACATTGTACCCATGTGGGGAATCGAACCCGGGTCTTCGGCGTGACGAGCGAACGCTTTAACGACTAGACCACCCCACCGCCCTTTGGTGGTTATAGCGAGATAATGCCTAACCAAGCAAACACGTTTGACTTCTCATGGTATACGTGTGGTCATATTCCCTCCCGGGGTGTCTATCGCCTGGTCTGTCTCACAATCCCTGAACCACATTATTTCCCCTCCTGTCCCTCCCTCCCTCTCTGCAGTGCTAAAGCCCTAAACGAAGCAAGTCTAGATTTCTCCAGGTTCAGGTTCTGAATCTCTGGTCTCCCTGGGGCTCCTTTTCAATTTAAATGGGTTTATTTGTTTCTATCAAAATTATATATATTCAGAGACTAAGCGTTTGTCTATAGGCGTACTATAGCTTCTAGTGGAACAAGCAGAGGAGTGAGTCAGATGGGTTTATTGCCGCTTTGAACAGTAACTCTGATATTTCACGGCGTGTTATATCATACATGTGAAATCATGGGACACCCTATTGCTGATAAACATACCATGCATGTGATCATAAGATACCCTATTGCTGATAAACATACCAAACATGTGATCATAAGATACCCTATTGCTGATAAACATATCATACATGTGATCATAAGATACCCTATTTCTGATAAATATACCATACATATGATCATGAGATACCCTATTGCTGATAAACATACCATACATGTGATCATACCATACATAGAGATCATAAGATACCCTATTTCTGATAAACATACCATACATATGAGATCATGAGATACCCTATTGCTGATAAACATATCATACATGTGATCATAAGATACCCTGATTGCTGATAAACATACCATACATGTGATCATAAGATACCCTATTGCTGATAAACATACCATACATGTGATCATAAGATACCCTATTGCTGATAAACACACCATACATATGATCATGTACCCTGTTACTGATCATATACCAAATATGAGATCATGAGATACCCTATTGCTGATAAACATATCATACATGTGATCATGAGATACCCTGTTGCTGATAAACATACCATACATATGAGATCATGAGATACCCTATTGCTGATAAACATATCATACATGTGATCATAAGATACCCTGTTGCTGATAAACATACCATACATATGAGATCATGAGATGATCATAAACATATCATACATGTGATCATAAGATACCCTATTTCTGATAAACATACCATACATATGAGATCATGAGATACCCTATTGCTGATAAACATATCATACATGTGATCATAAGATACCCTATTTCTGATAAACATACCATACATATGAGATCATGAGATACCCGATTGCTGATAAACACACCATACATGTGATCATAAGATACCCTATTTCTGATAAACATACCATACATGTGATCATAAGATACCCTATTTCTGATAAACATACCATACATGTGATCATAAGATACCCTATTGCTGATAAACATACCATACATGTGATCATAAGATACCCTATTTCTGATAAACATACCATACATGTGATCATAAGATACCCTATTTCTGATAAACATACCAAACATGTGATCATAAGATACCCTATTTCTGATAAACATACCATACATGTGATCATGAGATACCCTATTGCTGATAAACATACCATACATGTGATCATAAGATACCCTATTGCTGATAAACATATCATACATGTGATCATAAGATACCCTATTTCTGATAAACATACCATACATATGAGATCATGAGATACCCGATTGCTGATAAACACACCATACATGTGATCATAAGATACCCTATTGCTGATAAACATACCATACATATGAGATCATGAGATACCCTATTGCTGATAAACATATCATACATGTGATCATAAGATACCCTATTGCTGATAAACATACCATACATGTGATCATAAGATACCCTATTGCTGATAAACATATCATACATGTGATCATAAGATACCCTATTTCTGATAAACATATCATACATGTGATCATAAGATACCCGATTGCTGATAAACATATCATACATGTGATCATAAGATACCCGATTGCTGATAAACATATCATACATGTGATCATAAGATACCCTATTGCTGATAAACATACCATACATATGAGATCATAAGATACCCTATTGCTGATAAACATACCATACATGTGATCATAAGATACCCTATTACTGATAAATATACCAAACATATGAGATCATGAGATACCCTATTGCTGATAAACATATCATACATGTGATCATGAGATACCCTGTTGCTGATAAACATACCATACATATGAGATCATGAGATACCCTATTGCTGATAAACATATCATACATGTGATCATAAGATACCCTATTGCTGATAAACATACCATACATATGAGATCATGAGATACCCTATTGCTGATAAACATACCATACATGTGATCATAAGATACCCTATTTCTGATAAACATACCATACATATGAGATCATGAGATACCCGATTGCTGATAAACACACCATACATGTGATCATAAGATACCCTATTTCTGATAAACATACCATACATATGAGATCATAAGATACCCTATTTGCTGATAAACATACCATACATGTGATCATAAGATACCCTATTGCTGATAAACATACCATACATGTGATCATAAGATACCCTATTTCTGATAAACATACCATACATGTGATCATAAGATACCCTATTTCTGATAAACATACCATACATATGAGATCATGAGATACCCTATTGCTGATAAACATACCATACATGTGATCATAAGATACCCTATTGCTGATAAACATACCATACATGTGATCATAAGATACCCTATTTCTGATAAACATACCATACATATGAGATCATGAGATACCCTATTGCTGATAAACATATCATACATGTGATCATAAGATACCCTATTGCTGATAAACATACCATACATGTGATCATAAGATACCCTATTGCTGATAAATATACCATACATATGATCATAAGATACCCTATTGCTGATAAACATACCATACATGTGATCATAAGATACCCTATTTCTGATAAACATACCATACATGTGATCATAAGATACCCTATTGCTGATAAACATACCATACATGTGATCATAAGATACCCTATTGCTGATAAACATATCATACATGTGATCATGAGATACCCGATTGCTGATAAACATATCATACATGTGATCATAAGATACCCTATTGCTGATAAACATATCATACATGTGATCATGAGATACCCTATTTCTGATAAACATACCATACATGTGATCATAAGATACCCTATTGCTGATAAACATATCCATACATGTGATCATAAGATACCCTATTGCTGATAAACATACCATACATGTGATCATAAGATACCCTATTGCTGATAAACATATCATACCATACATACCCTGTTGTGATCATAAGATACCCTATTGCATGATAAACATACCATACATGTGATCATAAGATACCCTATTTCTGATAAACATACCATACATGTGATCATAAGATACCCTATTGCTGATAAACATACCATACATACATGTGATCATGAGATACCCTATTGCTGATAAACATACCATACATGTGATCATAAGATACCCTATTGCTGATAAACATACCATACATGTGATCATAAGATACCCTATTGCTGATAAACATACCATACATGTGATCATAAGATACCCTATTGCTGATAAACATACCATACATGTGATCATAAGATACCCTATTGCTGATAAACATATCATACATGTGATCATACCCTATTGCTGATAAACATATCATACATGTGATCATAAGATACCCGATTGCTGATAAACATACCATACATGTGATCATAAGATACCCTATTGCTGATAAACATACCATACATGTGATCATAAGATACCCTATTTCTGATAAACATACCATACATATGAGATCATGAGATACCCTATTTCTGATAAACATACCATACATGTGATCATAAGATACCCTATTTCTGATAAACATACCATACATGTGATCATAAGATACCCTATTTCTGATAAACATACCATACATATGATCATAAGATACCCTATTGCTGATAAACATACCATACATGTGATCATAAGATACCCTATTGCTGATAAACATACCATACATGTGATCATAAGATACCCTATTGCTGATAAACATACCATACATGTGATCATAAGATACCCGATTGCTGATAAACATACCATACATGTGATCATAAGATACCCTATTGCTGATAAACATACCATACATGTGATCATAAGATACCCTATTGCTGATAAACATACCAAACATGTGATCATAAGATACCCTATTTCTGATAAACATACCATACATATGAGATCATGAGATACCCTATTGCTGATAAACATATCATACATGTGATCATAAGATACCCTATTGCTGATAAACATACCATACATGTGATCATAAGATACCCTATTTCTGATAAACATACCATACATATGATCATGAGATACCCTATTGCTGATAAACATACCATACATGTGATCATAAGATACCCTGATAAACATACCATACATGTGATGATCATAAGATACCCTATTTCTGATAAACATACCATACATATGATCATAAGATACCCGATTGCTGATAAACACACCATACATGTGATCATAAGATACCCTTTTACTGATAAACATACCATACATATGATCATAAGATACCCTATTGCTGATAAACATACCATACATGTGATCATAAGATATCCTATTGCTGATAAACATACCATACATATGATCATAAGATACCCTATTTCTGATAAACATACCATACATGTGATCATAAGATACCCTATTGCTGATAAACATACCATACATATGAGATCATGAGATACCCTATTGCTGATAAACATACCATACATGTGATCATAAGATACCCTATTTCTGATAAACATACCATACATATGATCATGAGATACCCTATTTCTGATAAACATACCATACATGTGATCATAAGATACCCTATTTCTGATAAACATACCATACATACATGATCATAAGATACCCTATTGCTGATAAACATACCATACATGTGATCATAAGATACCCTATTGCTGATAAACATACCATACATGTGATCATAAGATACCCTATTTCTGATAAACATACCATACATGTGATCATAAGATACCCTATTTCTGATAAACATACCATACATATGAGATCATGAGATACCCTATTGCTGATAAACATACCATACATGTGATCATAAGATACCCTATTGCTGATAAACATACCAAACATGTGATCATAAGATACCCTATTTCTGATAAACATACCATACATATGAGATCATGAGATACCCTATTGCTGATAAACATATCATACATGTGATCATAAGATACCCTATTTCTGATAAACATATCATACATGTATGTGATCATAAGATACCCTATTTCTGATAAACATACCATACATATGAGATCATGAGATACCCTATTGCTGATAAACATATCATACATGTGATCATAAGATACCCTATTTCTGATAAACATATCATACATGTGATCATGAGATACCCTATTGCTGATAAACATATCATACATGTGATCATAAGATACCCTATTTCTGATAAACATATCATACATATGTGATCATGAGATACCCTATTGCTGATAAACATATCATACATGTGATCATAAGATACCCTATTGCTGATAAACATACCATACATGTGATCATAAGATACCCTATTTCTGATAAACATACCATACATGTGATCATAAGATACCCTATTTCTGATAAACATACCATACATGTGATCATAAGATACCCTATTTCTGATAAACATACCATACATGTGATCATAAGATACCCTATTGCTGATAAACATACCATACATATGTGATCATAAGATACCCTATTGCTGATAAACATACCATACATGTGATCATAAGATACCCTATTGCTGATAAACATACCATACATGTGATCATAAGATACCCTATTTCTGATAAACATACCATACATGTGATCATAAGATACCCTATTTCTGATAAACATACCATACATGTGATCATAAGATACCCTATTGCTGATAAACATACATACATGTGATCATAAGATACCCTATTTCTGATAAACATACCATACATATGAGATCATGATACCCTATTGCTGATAAACATACCATACATGTGATCATAAGATACCCTATTGCTGATAAACATACCATACATGTGATCATAAGATACCCTATTGCTGATAAACATACCATACATGTGATCATAAGATACCCTATTGCTGATAAACATACCATACATGTGATCATAAGATACCCTATTTCTGATAAACATACCAAACATGTGATCATAAGATACCCTATTGCTGATAAACATACCAAACATGTGATCATAAGATACCCTATTGCTGATAAACATACCATACATGTGATCATAAGATACCCTATTTCTGATAAACATACCATACATGTGATCATAAGATACCCTATTTCTGATAAACATACCAAACATGTGATCATAAGATACCCTATTGCTGATAAACATACCATACATGTGATCATAAGATACCCTATTGCTGATAAACATACCATACATGTGATCATAAGATACCCTATTGCTGATAAACATACCATACATGTGATCATAAGATACCCTATTGCTGATAAACATACCAAACATGTGATCATAAGATACCCGATTGCTGATAAACATACCATACATGTGATCATAAGATACCCTATTGCTGATAAACATACCAAACATGTGATCATAAGATACCCGATTGCTGATAAACATACCATACATGTGATCATAAGATACCCTATTTCTGATAAACATACCAAACATGTGATCATAAGATACCCGATTGCTGATAAACATACCATACATGTGATCATAAGATACCCTATTTCTGATAAACATACCAAACATGTGATCATAAGATACCCTATTTCTGATAAACATACCAAACATGTGATCATAAGATACCCTATTTCTGATAAACATACAATAGTATGAACAATTGGGTTCAAAGTCTCGCTTGGCCAGGAAAAAACCCCAAACCAGATGAGATGACAAGACTCGTGTCCTGATACAAATGAAAATGAATATATTGTTTTACAAGGGTGAGAGTGGAACTATGATCCTTATCAACGCCATGGAGGTGGTACGTGCGCACATCACACACGTACAGCATGTCGGCAACACTGGGATCCCAAGCATCACTAGCACAACAATCTCCTCTGTGTCTCTGATAATACAACATGGCGCAATACACTGGAATGAGTTTACTATAACACTAAGCATTGCCTAGTCTGTGGATTGTCTAACAAGACAAGATTAACGAGGAACGCGTTGAAATAATTACGTCATTTCCTTAAAATTAGCGGAAGCGTAATCAGATCATTAACTCTTTACAACCTGCGGATCTCACCTCAAGAGACATGTTGGGACAGGGGCCAATATATTTAGTACCATATTTTAACGTTTTTTGGTATGACGCGGCCGGGGATCCAAGTCTGTACTGAATGCAAAGCCCATGGATGCATAGTAAGTCTACCCTTTACAGAGGCAAGTCTAGATAAGCGGACAGTACATCTAAGGACTCCAGTCTATTATTAATATCTTTTAGAAATTATCATTTAAACTATTGTTTATAAGCCCATGTTATGTACCGTTCGTAGTCAGGTAAAATATTATGCATTACAAAAAACAAACAATATCCACGTACATTACAGGGACAAGACAGTCTTCACGTTCAGTACAGGAATCAGACAGTCTTCACGTACAGTACAGGGACAAGGCAGTCTTCACGTACAGTTCAGGAATCAGACAGTGTTTGCGTACAATACAGAACCCAGACAGTATTCACGTACGGTACAGCAGGGAGACTATATAACGTTGTAGAGTATCCCTGTGTACAGGAACCAGACAGGATCGCTCTCTCCTCATTCACAGATGACCGGAAGTTGTAATGAACAAACGCTAGACTCCGAAATTCGGCTAGCCCGAGTATACTAAGTTATGCTCCAGTCCAGCTACATTATATGCAGTGAAGAAATTTGATAGCAAACTCGAAATAGAATTTCTATGCTCTTACAAGCAGGACCAGATACACATGTAGACGAGTAATGAAATATACCATTATAAAAAGGTAGGGGATATTGGATTTACAAGATTGATAAAATGCAAATGATAAAGCCAAGGAGGAAACAGATGATGAAGAGAAATTAGGGTAAAATGTGACAATTTATTCCATTCCTTTGAAATGTTTCATCTGTATGGATATATTTTACTTTTTCTCATATGCATTGGCATTGGCTAGTGGTATGCTCGAAAAATGGAATAACCCCTACTATTTTTAAAAGGTATATGTTTAACACAAGTCACCAGGCCTACTTTACAAAACACCCTGAGTGTGTATAACTTCAGGGTGTCTCCACCTGATCAATCACCTACCTGTTTGGCCTTGACGTCACTCATCAGGCCTAATGTGTATAGCTTCATCTGATCCATCACCAACCTGTTTGGCCTTGACGTCACTCATCAGGCCTAATGTGTATAGCTTCATCTGATCAACCACCCACCTGTTTGGCCTTGATCAGGCCTAATGATCTGATCAATCACCCACCTGTTTGGCCTTGACGTCACTCATCAGGCCTAATGTGTATAGCTTCATCTGATCAATCACCCACCTGTTTGGCCTTGACGTCACTCATCAGGCCTAATGTGTATAGCTTCATCTGATCAATCACCCACCTGTTTGGCCTTGACGTCACTCATCAGGCCTAATGTGTATAGCTTCATCTGATCCATAGCCTAATGTGTATAGCTTCATCTGATCCATCACATACCTGTTTGGCCTTGACGTCACTCATCAGGCCTAATGTGTATAGCTTCATCTGATCCATCACCTACCTGTTTGGCCTTGACGTCACTCATCAGGCCTAATGTGTATAGCTTCATCTGATCCATCACCTACCTGTTTGGCCTTGACGTCACTCATCAGGCCTAATGTGTATAGCTTCATCTGATCACTCATCCCTAATACCTGTTTGGCCTTGACGTCACTCATCAGCCTTGACGTCACTCTAATGTGTATAGCTTCATCTGATCAATCACCCACCTGTTTGGCCTTGACGTCACTCATCAGGCCTAATGTGTATAGCTTCATCTGATCAATCACCCACCTGTTTGGCCTTGACGTTAATGTGTATAGCTTCATCTGATCAACCACCCACCTGTTTGGCCTTGACGTCACTCATCAGGCCTAATGTGTATAGCTTCATCTGATCCATCACATACCTGTTTGGCCTTGACGTCACTCATCAGCCTAATGTGTATAGCTTCATCTGATCAATCACCCACCTGTTTGGCCTTGACATCCATGTCCAGCATGGACATGTGCATGCCACACAGCCACAGCTTATGCCCCACGGACATCTGGGCTATGTGGCCCTGAGGGGGCTGAAACGCCTCCCAGCTGGCATTCCACCGGTGCTCCACGAACGTCCACATCTTGGCCCACATGTAGCGGAGGTCCGTCCCAGCACCCATGAAGGGTCCGTGAACCTGAGGCAGGTGGGCAACGTCAGCTCCGTTCTCCGGGATCTCCTGAACATGACAACAGGAGGTGAGGTGAGGAGAAATGGGGTTTAACGTCGTACTTAAGATTATTTCGCTCATGACGACGTCCATGTGTGTGTATGTGTGGCTTCTTGTACTAGCCCAGACTTAAGCTGGTTTTGTATTGCTTGCTGAGATACCATACCGCAGTTAAGCATGAATACCCCATTCAGACACATTATACTGACTCCGAGCCTACCAGTCCTTGTTGTACCCGTTAATGCCGTGCGCCAGGCAGGGACCAATATATATAGTACCATATTTTAACGTATTTTGGTATTATGGGCGGACGCTCTAACCACTACACCATGGACGACAACAGAGGTTATTCCGACTGATTCTGGTAATAAAAAGATCTCCGCCAGCGAAATAAAGAACAGTTAATGTTAGCTGCACAAGGATATATTCTTTAACAAGGGAGCCATGTGCAGTTCTGGTAGCGTCAGTCCGGAACATCCGGGTTAGAACTGATCTTCAGTAACCCATGCTTGTCGTAAGAGGCGACTATCGGGATGGGGTGGTCAGGCTCACTGACTTGGTTGTCATCGCATCCCGAATCTGTAGATGGACGCTTTTGCTGTTGATCACTGGATTGTCTGATCCGGACTCGATTATTTACAGACCACCGCCATAAAGACTTACGATACTGGCCCCCCGTTTCTCAAAGCGATCGTAGCGCTACGACTGTCGTAAGTCTATGTTAAAGTATGGGAGTTACGATCACCTTAGCGCTACGATCACTTTGTGGAACGGGGCCCTGGTGATAGTAAAGATCTATGATAATATAAAGTAAGGGAGTTACGAAACTGGTGGTGATAGTCCAGATCTCTGATCTATCTTTGAACGAACAGGTACACCGGCATGGTACACTAATAGTGATAATGGAAATCGCTGGAACTGTAAGGGAGATGCCCCGCATAGTCGTTGAGTGATACCACAGATCTCTGATAACGTATAAGTAAGTGACAGACCAGATCTATCATTACGAGAAACCCTAGTTGTGACGTTCCAGGTACGTGACATCGTACAGGTATCGCAAAGGTGTTAGAGATATCTACTTGACTCATGACACTGGTTGTCCAAGTCCAGATCTGTGATAAGTAAGTCGCGGCTCTGGATGTAACACTCTTTTCTCTTATAATGTACGGGTTTCGTGTCACTGGTGTTCAGTCAGGACAATTGACTTTAGTGATGACGTCAAGACGCTCACAGTAGGTTGGTAATTAGCAAACAACTAGGGCTAGCTCCCTGACAAACTATGAGTCAGTGAGTGAGTTTAGGTTTACGCCGCACTCAGCAATATTCCAGCTATATGGCGGTGGTCTGTAAATAATCGAGTCTGGGCCAGACAATCCAGTGATCAACAGCATGAGCAACGATCTACGCAATTGGGAACCGATGACATGTGTCAACCAAGTCAGCGAGCCTGACCACCCGATCCCGTTAGTCGCCTTTTACGACAAGCATGGGTTACTGAAGATCAATTCTAACTCGGATCTTCACGGGTCGACAAACTATGAAGGTCACGATATTTGTAGTAATGATTAGAGTGGCCAGATCTAGCTCATAGTGTTGATAAGTGTAACTTGGTCCGTCTCATTGTCAGTCACCGCAGTGTAGCACTGGGGGCTAGTACAAAAAATGCATATACCAGACGCGATTTGGAAGAAAGGGAATGAAGCGTTGGTATGCCGTTGCCAAGGTTACCTGTATCTGGGCGTTGACTATGTGTTCTGTCCGACCCCGGTATGTCCATTCTCCCTTGGTGATCTCCTCTATTTCAGGGGGCACCCAGTAGGGCTCCTCCCCCTCGGCGTGGTACCACACGTACACCCAGCCATTCAGCTCCTTCACCTTCCACGACTTGACCCTCGCTATATCAGGCACTGCAGATACACATACAATCCACTTTAACATCATCATCGAAGAAGAGTTATGGAGGGCATCCTTCTACAGTTCATAAAAGTTTGGATACCCTCAACGGACAGGGCCTGATATTCCCAGAAAACAACTGCGGTGAGTGAGTGAGTGAGTGAGTGAGTGAGTGAGTGAGTGAGTGAGTGAGTGAGTGAGTGAGTGAGTGAGTGAGTGAGGGAGCGAGCGAGCGAGCGACCGAGCAGCTCTTAAGAATATTCCAGAAATATCATGGCAGAAAACACCAGAAATGAATCTCACACATTATGCACATTTGGGGAATCGAACCCGGATCTTCGGCGTGACGAACGAACGCTTTAACCACTCCGCCCCGGGAGATTCAGAACCTGAAGAATATCTGGACTTGCTTCGACTGGGTCGTTGCATTACAGGCAGTACTGGGCCGAAGTGAAATAACTATAAAACTGTCAGACCGATTCCGAAATCCTATTCGGTCGAACGAGGGACCACATTGTGTAGAACTGCAAGCCTGACACTGAGAAGTATGGGCATAGGTTTGAAGCTTACTACAATAGGGGGTTTATGCACTACATCCCGATATCAAATTTTCAAGATTAGACTCATAGTGACGAAAAACAAGTATGTCCCAAAGCCTATTCGTCTCCCCTCGCCGCAATCTTTGACGATTTGTATGCCGTTTTGGGATGCTATGAGTGCCGTGTTGGGATTTTATGAATGCCGTTTTGTACGCTCGGCGACCGTTCTCGAGCGCTCTTGTAGCTGATACGCGAGTTTTGTTTCCATTTCAAACGATTTGTCTTCCATTACAGATGTATTGTTTCGGTTTTAGAGGATATTGTTGCAGTTTTGGTGGTTTTTGTTCTGTTTTGGTGTATACGAGATCAGTTTTGATGATTTGTTCACCGTTTGTATGGTAGGCCTGGATTCGGTCATCGTTTACATGGGAAGCCAGACACGTCAGCCTCACCTTTCTCTGCAGCAGGGATGTTGGTACACTTGCCATCCTCCCCCCTGAACCTCCAGGCGTGGAAGGGGCACTCGATACAGTTGCCCACCACCTTGCCCCCTACGGCCATGTTGGCGCCCAGGTGAGGACAGTAGGCGTTGACAACGTGAGCCTTGCCCTCCTCGTCCCTGAACACGGCCAGGTGTACACCTGAAACATAAACGGGGAGTGCGTGAGTGAGTGAGTGAGTGAGTTTTACGCCGCACTCAGCAATATTCCAGCTATATGGCGGCGGTTTGTAAATAATCGAGTCTGGACCAGACAATCCAGTGATCAACAGCATGTGTATCGATCTGCGCAACTGGGAACCGATGACATGTGTCAACCAAGTCAGCGAGCCTGACCACCCGATCCAGTTAGTCGCCTTTTACGACAAGCATCTTATTTACCTTCGCTTTAAAGATTACGGAATTATCAACCATTCACTCGTTTCTAAAAACATACTATAGCACGGGATTTCCTTTTGTATTAGCTTTTTTTTCTCTCTGTATGAAATATTTATCCTTCCATTCTTTTTGATAAATTATATTCATTCTTGTTAGTAATGGAAAAATTGTTTTAAGTCCTTCCTTTATTTATTTTGATATTAAATTATTTCCCCTTTTTTCAACAAGGAAAGATAACTGCCACTTGGCTTGTTTGACACAGCTGGAGAAGTCAGTCTGACAGGAAGCGTGTTTGTCAGATCCGAGGCGACGTGCCCCGCTGTCGGTGTACAGCGACCCCTGACTGACCTACTTAGAGGTCGGTGTACATGTTGTGTTGGAGTACATGTATTTTAGCCGTGTGTGGTATTTCACGCCGGATATGCTACAAGCTTACTTGCCGTTTCTATACGAGGATTATATAACGTTACTTCCGCCCCTAGCGACCAGCGACCGTCGAGCTGAATTTTCAATCAAATTTACTTGAACTTAAACAGAAAGAGTAGAAAAGCAATTTGTATAATATAAACTGACGCAATTATTACTTCTGTTGACCCAGTTTGCATGGTGGACGTGACTGATGACACAATCGGGGTGCAGTTGTGAATTCCACCACTCAAAATCAAATAAAATCCCACTCCGTAATACAGGACGGGACGGACACAGCTAATGTGTCACTGAACTTAAACTTGCACGTCTCTAAGGTCTTAAAGTCTCTAAGGTAAAAATTAATTAAAATGATAATTTTTATGAAATAATAAATAACAGACTGGGGTCCGTACTGTCAGCTTATCTGGACTTGCCCATTCGAAGGATAGAATTTCTATACATCCATGGGCTCAGCTAGACTAACGCGTAGTCTCTGAATAAATATAATTTTGATAGTAACAAATAAACCCATTTAAATTGAAAAGGAGCCCCAGGGAGACCAGAGATTCAGAACCTGAGGAAATCTGGACTTGCTTCATTTAGGGCTTCTGCATTGCAGGGAGGGCTAGGCTGTAGGGAAAATAATGTGGTTCAGGGACTGTGAGACAGACTACATTGCAGGGAGGGCGAGGCAGTAGGGAAAATAATGTGGTTCAGGGACTGTGAGACAGACTACATTGCAGAGAGGGCTAGGCTGTAGGGAAAATAATGTGGTTCAGGGACTGTGAGACAGACTACATTGCAGAGAGGGCCAGGCAGTAGGAAAAATAATGTGGACCAGGGACTGTGAGACAGACTACATTGTGGGGAGGGCTAGGCAGTGGGGAAAAATAATGTGGTTCAGGACTGTGAGACAGACTACATTGTGAGAGGGACAGACTACATTGCAGAGACGGCTAGGCAGTGGGAAAATAATGTGGACCAGGGACTGTGAGACAGCCCAGGGTTCAGCATTCAGTACAGCCTTGGGGCAAGGCTAAGCTGTTCTATATGAGAACAATACCTGTACTCATACTCACAGCTCCTGTCAGCTGATACATGTCACGTGTGTGTGAGTGATGGCCATATCCCGATCCTCCGTACACCTGTAGGTACGCTTGTAGGACATGCGTGTACGTGTCTCACGTTGGCTTGTAGGTGTGTCAGTTTGCGCTGTACGTGTCTCCTACTGCACTGTACGTGTCTCACACTGAACGATACATGTCTCAGGCAGCACTATACGTGTCTCACATTGCATTATACGTGTCTCACTGCACTATACTTGTCTCATATTGGACTATAAGGGAGGCACGCATAGTGCAGTGTGAGACACGTATATTGCAGTGTGAGACACGTACAGGGCAGTTTTAGACAAATGAGACATGTACAGTGCAGCCTCACGTTGCGCTATACGTGTCTCACACTGCACTATACGTGTCTCACACTGCACTCACTATACTTGTCTCACACTGCACTATATTTGTCCCACACTGCACTATACGTGTCTCACACTGCACTCACTATACTTGTCTCACACTGCACTATATTTGTCCCACACTGCACTATACGTGTCTCACACTGCACTCACTATACGTGTCTCACACTGCACTCACTATACGTGTCTCACACTGCACTATATGTGTCTCACGATGCACTTCATGTGACTAACATTTCAGAGTACGTTTGACACACTGCTTTATACTTGTCACACCTTTGTCTGCCCTAACGCCAACCTTCACTTCAATGTGTGAATGGGCATCAACCACAGGAAGTCATAACGACCTACCTCAGTGCCGCATGGCGCCAGTATTACGCAGTACATCATCGAGTTGCCATCACGGCATGGCAAGACAGATATGTCTGAATATTCGTTGACGTAGTAATATACAATCTTATATTGCTACACTATTACCACTGTCGCATTTCAGAGCCAAAGTACGTGTTCGTTCTGAGAAAAGTATTGGCGTATAAATGCAGTTTTTGTGAAAGAACGTATTCATCTTCAAACAGTCTTCCTATTACATGGCGATGGCACGGGCATTCAGACACATGAAGAACAGAGGTTATCCCTCTCAACACGAAATAAATAAGAAATTATTTAATCAAAGCGTTACAATGTGGACACTGATCATGATATAAAACGACATTACTTTTTATTGTTGTCAGGAGAATATGGTCTTGCCCAACCGATTCCACCTCCCTCGTTATTTTGCTTAACATTTAATTGGAAGCAAACCGCCATCCCAGATATTCAGACTTCTAGGGTTCATTCAATATGGCACAAGTGCGTTATTCAACATTTTTCTCCTTTGCTATTTATTTGTGTTTGAGAGGTCAGGTCAAAAGGTGAAGTGTCAGAGTATTTACCGAGTGGCATGACAGACATTTGGGGAGCGATTTTCTTACAAACCGTGTATTTCCGTTTGTTTAAAGTCCCACTATTACCACATTCTCTGCCGCCATAGAGCTGCATGCCAGTCTCTAGCGGACCCGACATGCACGTGTACAGATGTTGCCCGAAGGTGGGAAGGGTGACGAGGAAATTAATTACACATTAGTTACGCCGGAACTTGGCATGTTTTCGCCCACATAGTAAAAAAACAACGGTATGATTTCTGAAAATAATAATATACTACCCATCAAAAGTTTAGACTCACTTAAAGCACTCACTATATGTTATGTATATATATGGTTACATCGAAGATGACTTTCTCCAGTAACTTGGGGGAACCAACTGCAAAATTTATGCTGATGAATTGCACGAAGATCATGCATCAAATTGCTGAAAAGCATATGCAAATACCGCGCATGTGAACAGCTGCGTTTTGGTGTAAAGTTTTGTTCAGAATTCGCCATTTTTCACTATGTTTCATCATTTATTGAACTCATGACAATAAACTTTGCAACGTTACGAATTCGTTTTACAATACATCAGTTCATATGCAATACAACACCTTCAAACAGTATGAAATATTTTGCAAAATCTAGTTTAGAACAGTTGACTGAAGTAAGTGGCTACATTTACACTAGTGAGTCTAAACTTTTGATGGGTAGTATATTACCCCGACATATTATTTCGAGGCGTGAGTAGACCGAAGTCATAAATATCGGGGACACATGATTTCACAGCAGTTAATATTAACATTCTTGAATAATATTTAGAGTAAAGTTAATAAACTAGATTGCAAACATAAGGCCAGATATGCAAAGGGCATGTTTTATTACGAGATAGTGTAACACGGGATTACCCTGCATAATTCAATACGGATTTGTTGACACTCTTTTTTCGATGACTGATCACGACGAAAAGATGAACGAAGGTTCAGCTTATCTACGGATCACCATTTGGATGCTGATTTTAAGGGTCAAGTTAGGACCTCGGCTTATCTATGAGACTGCATTATCTACGGTAATATAAATTTGTGTTGGGTGATGCGTACGTTAACATGGGCAAACAGAGTGAGTGTGGTTCTACGGGTGAGTGAGTGAGTGTGTGGGTCGATGGACGGGTGAGTTTCTGGATGACTGGATATGTGTCGGAGAGTGAGAGAGGTTGGGTGAGTGGGTTAGTGAGGGATTAGGTGGTTAAGAGGATTAGTTTATCTTGGTAGGTGAGTGAGTGATATGACGTCAGTTCATGCAGTGTTCGAGCCTCATCACGGTGTATGACGGTTCAAGGCCCTCTTGTAGAGATGATGGGATTCGACTCATGTTTTTGAGTAACTATTTAAAGCGTTGTGACATATACGCTTACTACCGACTGTGATCACAATATTCACTCAACAATCTGTTGCTTAAGAAATACAGTTCGCTCTACCACCATGTATTGTGTAATAGTGTAATAAAGCACACTTTCGTCCTGAACTATTATAACGTTAAAGCTTTATTATACTATACATGGTGGTAGAGCGAACAGTATTTCTTTTCTAAGATGCCAAATTTAATACTTTCTAAGGATAATTACGATTAATCTAAGGCAGAAAACAAACTACGGTGTCGGTGGCCTAAATTAAGAATCCTCGCACAGGGCTAACTGGCGCGCTGCTCTATTGATGTCTGCCCCCCTACGTTAAGACGAACGTTACCAGAAAAAACAAATGATCAACAGTTTGATGACGGTTTACGTTCGGACTAAATATCTTCTCTAAATTATTTCAATTACATCTGCGATTAACGTAAACCATATGGGGCAATATGAACGTCGCATTTCTACTACCAACATAAGTTTAGATCAGTACATCCAGATGAAGCTGAGTAGTCAAGCGACATTCCACGATTGCATTGTGGGAATGTAAACATTGCGAACGTTGCCGTGTCGCTGAAAACTTGTGAGTCGAATTGAGACATTGTAACCGTCGGAAAACAAAAACGTAATGAATCCACCAGTGATGTTATCTGCGTGAAGCAACTGCAAACCAAGAAACGGGATCCAACGGAGTATATCTGTAGGAGGCTGTACGAGGCGATGACAACTGACATGCATCGTGACGTCGCTTACATTGTGACGTAATGCAAAAGTGTTCCGACTACGAGGGGGCAGACTAGAATGGCGCAGTGACGCTAATACATTGTGACGTAATGCAAAAAGTGCACATTATCGTCTGATAAAGTACTGTCGGCGCCTTTGATCTTTCACCGAAGCATCTTAGAATTTGACGTAATTGAATCAGGACTGCTTTAGCCCGACGTCTCTGCAACGAAGGTTAGAATTGATCTTCAGGAACCCATGATTGTCGTAAGAGGCGACGAACGGATCGGGTGGTCAGGCTTGCTGACATGGTTGACACATGTCATCTATCCCAATTGCGTAGATCGATGCTCATGCTGCTGATCACTGGATTGTCTGGTTCCGATTCGATTATTTACAGAACGCCGCAAATATTGTGTATTGCGGCGTAAAACTAAACTCACTCACTCATTCTGCAACACGGACATACGCTACTTGGTCAACGATGCAGGAACGATGTCTTGTCCTGTGACCTAACACGCCGAATCGTGACCCTTGTGGACGGCCATATGCTTGAAATGTACATTAATAACTTCGTCTGGTGCTCGGGAAGCGTTTTGAATATTGACACATATTTACAGGGGCGGTGGGGTAACGGTAGCCTAGTGGTTAAAGCGTTCGCTCGTCACGCAAAACAACCCTGTGGGATTCCCTACATGGGTACAATGTATGAACTATTTCTGGTGTTGCTATGTTGCGGCGTACAACTAAACTCACTCGCTCAAAACACCCATCTCATTCGGACTCTTTTTCAGTTCAAATATAGTTGCTTGGTTCAATCCAAGTGTAACAGTTTTAAAGACTAAGTGTCAGTCTACATTATCGATCTGATACACACTTCAGCCACGTTTGTTAATGGATTTTCTATCTAGGCAAAATCGAAGGACGCACTAATACAAGGAATAGATATTTCCACCGCCATTAGATCTCGTTCAGTGTACTTCAGGTATGAGAGGACATGAGTTTGGATAAGGGTCTGGGAACTGTGTGATGTAGTTAATAAAAGACCTTTCTACAATACATGGCGGTTATTAACGGAATGAGATGACTTTGCCATTATTTCAGCTATACCTAAAGAGCGTCAACTGACTGGATGGTTATTTTTAGCGTCGCATCTTTCAGTCACACTCAAAGAGAAGCTTGTTGTGTGGTTGGATCTCCGGTATCAAAACGGAAAGAAAATATAATGCATTAAAAATACCCCAGGACATTCAGGTGTTAACAATGTTTATTACGATTATATGTTGTTTAACGCCGCACTCAGCAATATTTCAACTTTATGGCAGCAGCCTTAAATATTCGGGTTTGGACCTGGCAATCCAGTGATCAAAAACATGAGCATCGATCTACGCAAATGGGATACGATGACACGTGGCAACCAAATCAGCCAGCCTGAAAATCCGATCCCTTTGGTTGCCTCTTCAGATAATCACAGATAACTGGGGATCCCACTAACGCTAATCTCTGAATATATGTAATTTGGATAGAAACACAGATTCTGTAACTGAAAAAGAGCCCGAGTGAGATACATACATACTATTTAGACAAGCTTAATTTGGGTATTTTGCATCGTAGAAAAGGCTGGGCGGAAGAGAAATAATTGTTGTCACGCTGAAGACCCGGGTTCGATTCATCACGTGGGTACAATGTGTGAAGCCCATTTCTGGTGTCCCCCCGCCGTGATATTGCTGGAATATTGCTAAAAGCGGCGTAAAATTAAACTCAGTCACTCTACAGGGGCTGGTTTCGCGGCTAACAGCGACGCCCTGCTTATAACACGCCCGTTATTCCTCATATCTCACGCTTGTAGGTGGGGCGTCATTAGCGCTGATTGTGGATAATATATTGATGCAGTAACTAATCTCTCTTCAGTTAAAAAATGGCTTTTCCATAAGCAAATGTTTTTTATGATGCCCATTGCCAGTCTAACGTTGTAGTTACGTAGTTATGTAGTAATTCGTCATCGATTAGTGCCCAAATGCAGCCCTAATTGTGACCCAGGTAATGGTTGGAAATTACTTTGTATTCATTCGTAACTGCACTATCTATGCAACAACATCGCAATGCTCCCAGCATCACCAACCACGGCCATGGTTACTCGATCTACCACAACCACCATATTCTCTATGTCTCCCTTCTCTGTCCATCTACAATTGACAAGTAACAATAACATGCATGGTATATATCACACACATGCTTACTTCCCCATGTCGGGTGACTGGACGACGAATGTCGGCGTGACATAACCCGTCGTAAACGCGTCATCTTGAACTACATCAAGAGTATACTGTCGTTACTGCCGATCCCAACGCGTAGACTACCGCTTAGTCTCTGAATAAAAGTAATTTTGATTGTAACAAACAGACCCATTTAAATTGAACAGGAACCCCAGTCAGATGGGAAATTCAGAACCTGAGGGAATCTAGACTTGCTTCATTTAGAGCTTTAGCATTGCAGGAGGGATAGGCTGTTGGGAAAATAATGTGGTACAGGGACTGTGAGACAAACTGTGCGGAGTTCGGTCAACAGCCCTGTGGTGGAGTACTTAGGGTGCGTCACCATTGTGCACTGCATTTGAAAGCGGCTTCTTTTATGTGTTTATTGTGTTTATTGTTTACGCCGCATTCAGCAATATTCCAGCTATATCACGGCGGTCTGTAAACAATCTGGTCTGGACCAGACAATCCTGTGATTGACGCCATGAGCATCGATCTTAGCAAATGGGATACGATTATATATGCCAACCAAGTCAGCGAACCCGACCACCCGATTCCCTTAGTCGCCTCCGACGAGGAGTTTGAATGGGTTTGCTAAAGGGCATCACGGGTTACATATGATATCCATATGTGCATACATGCATGGACGTATATATCGATGTGTGTGAGTGTGAATGAGTGAGTGAGTGAGTGGTACAATTTCGCGATTAATATGCATGATCCATGAAATATGATCCAGTGTTTGTTGTAAATCATGGAACTGAAAGGATAACACTATTTAAATGAAAATATTAGGTTTCCTTCCGTCTTCATCAAGCAAATGCGCATCAGTGGCAGCTGCCGATATGGAAAGTACAATCGAGCCTAAAAAAGTTGCTGAATGATCAGATTCGAGTGATTCCTTCCGGCTAAAACTATGTCATGGTGCATGTGTCATTTCTCTATAACGTTGACACAATGACCTTGAGTTGCATCAATCTACTAATACGTTCTGAATGGCCAGTGAAGTCCTGGTTCTGCAGCAACAAGAGGGTGACGCCACCTTAATGGTTTGACAGCTGAATATCCAACATTCACCCTCTTCCTCACCGATAATGTCAAACGGTTCCTTGAAACAGGGGCGGTGGGGTAGCCTAGTGGTTAAAGCATTCGTTCGTCACGCCGAACAGGAATGTGGGACAGACCAGGGATCATCAATGCTGACCCCCGTATGACTACAAGGGCTGAGGGGCGGTGGGGTAGCCTAGTGGTTAAGGCGTTCGGTCGTCACGCTGAAGATCCGGGTTCGATTCCCCACATGGGTACAATGTGTGAAGCCCATTTCTGGTGTTCACCGCCGCGTCATTGCTGGAATATTGCTAAAAGCGGCGTAAAACTAAACTCACTCTTTGAAAAATGTATTGACTGAATAGAAATAAGAATTTTGTAGTCATGATGGACGAGGGTGGAACAATATAACAGCTACATTGAATAGTCTAATGTCACAAGGGGAAGTTAAGCAACGCTGACCACGGAGTGTAGTTGGATGGGTGAACGTATTTGACAGTGTGCCCTACACTGAAGCACATGGCTATTCTGGTGTAACCTTTGGCAAGTGGCTTTGTTCGTAATATGCCCTTCTTTACCAATTAGTGAGTGAGTGACTTTAGTTTTACGCTGCCTTTAGCAATATTTCAGCGATATCTCGGCGGGGGACACCAGAAATAGGCTTCACACATTGTACCCATGTGGGGAATTGAACCCGGGTCTTCAGCGTGACGACTGAACGCTTTAACCACTAGGCTACCCACCGCCCCACCAAGAAGTGAATGGGTACCCGTTAGGATGGCACGGCAGCGTAACTGTTCACCTTCAAGCGCATAACGGGCAGCTCGGATTGCATACTCTTTGCAGAAAATAAATCATGTGCGCACACAGCTAATAAAAATACTGCCTTAATCATTCATTTGGAGTATGGAATTTGGCGCATCATATACATACATACATACATACATACATACATACATACATACATACATACATACATACATACATACATACGTACATACATACATACATACATACATGCATACCTACATACATACAAATATTTGTATAGCGCCAATCTCCAGGTCAGCTGTTCACACTAAATTTTTTATCATTAAGGTGATATCAACGGGTAAGACCATGGTACTAACAAACAAACGATAAGAATCAACTGAATGCCTAGATCATTGGATCCCGGCAAGCCCATGGGAGGCAACTCTGCGTTGCGAATAACGATGTCGTAAATTAGGATGACACGACCGGCCTTTTCGCCCTAAATATTGTGACCAAGAGCACCCGTCTAAATAAACCCTTCTGATCCGACGTCATGTGGAAGATAGGCCCCCTCAAACACGCGTGTATGACCGGGTTAAGGAGGATAACTCTCATTTATGACCAAATCCTCACAGATCTATCACTGGACCGCCTCGCCAGTAACAGGGTTGATTACCTGAATGTTTGAATGTGACCCGTATACCGTTATCTTTTGACACGACTCAGGTAAATGTATGTGTTGGTGGTAAGTGAAGGCTAATTAGATCTACATACCTAGAGCGTTCACCTCTTTCACCTGTCCCTTTGCAAGATCAAACGATTCCATCAAGCCGAACCAGCCGTTTGGGTATACAGGGGGTATATTACCTACAGCCCGACGTCTCCGAACCATGTTGGCAATATCTCGTCTCCCCATGGAGGGATCATGGGCGTATCCAACATCCTCTAGTCGACGTACCCGGTTGAGAGGTATAAAAAATAGCCGATACCCATAGTATAGCAGCAGAGCGACGGCAGTCGCACATACTGCAGTAATTATAGGCCATTCCACAACAAACGCACAAAGTTCAACAGCTAATCCGTTTCCGTGAAATAGTGAAGTAGTGGTTTCAATCCACAGAGCCTTCACCTCCTTCAGGGACTTGGGAAACCCCGTCTCCTTGCCTGATACGAAGTTTGTCAATGTACATACAAAACACACTGCTGCGGAGTATATACACCGAGTCGCCATCCTACTGGTAGACTGTTACCTGCCCTGTGATGGGTTCCCATGGACGCTCGGCCTCCTCCGTGCTCGACCACACATCCGCCGCTTTGACACACACACACAGATCGATCGGCCCGTGTAACTTCAGTCTACAGGCTGGTATCTGGGTCCCTGTGGCGAGATACGAGGCGAACGTTGTGCAATGTTCGCATTGCTGTAGTGAATCCTTCTCCGCGAGCCGGAATTGCGAAAGCGTTGCGTGACCTGTATTCTCCTTACAGTGAAAATGAAAGATTCGCTTCGTCAACAAAGTATTCAGTCAGCATCGACGAACCTGTCAGTACTCGCTGTCCGTTATGGACAGGTAATGACGATCCATACTCTAGTGCCCTGTGTTGGCGATGTAAATATTAGAAAAGACACATTGGAGTGCACAAACATTTGTTGTACATACTTGTATTGATACACGGAAATACAATTTAAGCGACACAGATAAACGTTTACATGACTAATTTCACTGACAGATTAGAACGTTCAGTCAGTAACTTCGAGTAAGGCTCCTTATGTTAAATTAGTGACTTATGTCCTACAATGACTACGCACTATTCGCTGTAACATAGGGACCAGCGGACGAACAATGAACGATCATGTTTGAAGGAATTTAAGGCAACAGTTGATAGTATTTCGGTTATGAAGTAGTGGTTTAAGCGTTCGCTGGTCAAACCGAAGACCCGGATTCACCGCATGGGTACAATGAATGAAGACCATTTTTGTGTCCCCAACCGTGATATTGCTGGAATATTGCTAAAAGCGGCGTAAAGCCATACTCACTCACTCACTCGTTGATGGCCTTTGCGATAGGTGTTACCTTAAATAATAATTATTCATTTCTGAGCAAATACGACTATGTACATGAATAAAATCCATATACAAGTTGTCAACAAATGACGCGGGTTGCAGATTAATCTGAGGTGGAATTTGCATAAAACTGCAAATTTATTTATTATAGATAATCCAATATATCAGAGCCTAAATGGTATTAATATTCCTTTCCATGAAGTTTTCATAGTTCACACATTCTCAGTTTTCGAGGTGTGTTTTTTTTCAAAATTCTCAAAAGATACCTTTGAACGTTAATATGAAATCATAGAGCTTGTAGTATTTGAGTTCGATAATGATAAAGATGAAAGTTCTGTAAGTGTATATTAATATAAAAATATGTTAAAAGAATTTTTCCTATCGAGAGTGAATAATAATCTGTATCATTTTTTACTTACCGATTATTAATCAATAATATAGTAATTATGTTATAAGATAGTTAACACTAATGATAGTTGACATTTGGCGTTGTGTGACCAGTAACTGTTCTTAGCACAAAATGGGGCGGTGGGGTAGTCTAGTGGTTAAAGAGCTAGCTCATCACGCCGAAGACCCGGGTTCGATTCCCACATGGGTACAATGTGTGAAGCCCATTTCTGGTGTCCCTCGCCGTGATATTGCTGGAATATTGCTTAATGCGTCGTAAAACTAAACTCACTCACTCAATCGATTCCCCGCATGGGGACAATGTGTGAAGCCCATTTCTGGTGTCCCCTGCCGTGATGTTGCTGGAATATTGCTAAAAGCGGCGTATAGCCATACTCACTCACTCACTCACTCATGTTACTTTAACTATAACACAGACACGTGTGTGTAGTGAGACAAAGCATATTTCATGTAACATACTAAACATACATATAGTCATACAGAGCTAATACAAATATACCCGATACAGCCCATGCCAGTCTAGAATATATTAATAGTAAGTCTTGATTACAAAAGAACATATCTGAGCTCCTTTTATTGTATATTTTTTCAAAATAATTTAGGAACAGCTTTTTATGTAATATATATTCATATCGGAGACTGAATGTAAGTCTAACTAAAATCAATTCCAACTCTACGTAGGTGCTATAAACAGCTCTGTTATGTATAGTACAGAACGGATATAAGTCATACCAGGATCCCGGTATCTAATCGTGTCATGTGTTGACCGGGAGTTTAGCAATACACACATCTTAATTTTCATGATGATGTGGTTGAACCTTGAGCTCATCTTTCTACACCACACGGACACATCCAGATGAGAGCGTTTGTTGACCACGTGACATACAAGGTGACAACGTCATGGTGACCTCGTGACGTTATGTTCACGAGACGCTGGTCACGTAATATTTGTGTTTGGGAGAGGTAGAACGAATCCGAGAACATACGTTTTGCAAGAATGCTTTTTCAAATATAATTGTATTATTATAAATTGTAGTTTTAACTTCTACAAGTTAAACGGAGATCCTGAAAATATACAGTAGTGGTATACTACAAAGACTGGGTCTGAAATCTGAAAGACCCAGTGGTTGACAGCATGAGCACTCACATGATGTCATATAATTTAGTCACATGACGTCGCATACTGTAGTCACATGACGTCACATAATGTAGTAAGGTCACACTGTCGTCACTCTGTCATCACTTTAGTTTTAAGTAGGATATTACAAAAGGAATATGATGTGAGCGAACCTGTAAGCAATAGCACATGACACCTGTTAATAAACTATACAGTTCGCTCTACCACCATGTATAGTGTAATAAAACACACTTTTGCCCTGAACTATTATAGTTAAAGCACGAGGACGAGTGCTTTAACTATAATAGTTCAGGGCAAAAGTGTGTTTTATTACACTATACATGGTGGTAGGGCGAACTGTATTTCTTTCTAAGATGCCAAATCTAATACTTTCTAAAGATAATTACGATTAATTTAAGGCAGAAAACAAACGACGGTGTCGGTGACCTAAATTAAGAATCCTCGCACAGGGCTAACTGGCGCGCTGTTCTATTGATGTGTCTGCCCCCTACGTTAAGACAAACGTTACCAGAAAAAAACAAATGATAACAGTTTGATGACGGTTTACGTTCGGATTAAATATCTTCTCTGAATTATTTTAATTACATCTGTCATTAACGTAAACCATATGGGGCAATATGAACGTTGCATTTCTACTACCAGCGTAAGTTTAGATCAGTACATCCAGAGGAAGTTGAGTAGTCAAGCGACATTCCACAATTGCATTGTGGGAATGTAAACATTACGAACGTTACCGTGTCGCTGAAAACTTGTGAGTCGAAATGACACATTTAACCGTCGTAAAACATAAACGTAATGCTTCCACCAGTGATGTTAGCTGCGTGAAGCAACAGCAAACCAAGAAACTGGATGCAACGGTGTAGTTTACTGTAGGAGGCTGTACGAGGCGATGACAACTGACATGCATCGTGACGTCGCTTACATTGTGACGTAATGTAAAATGGTTCGATTACGAGGGGGCACACTAGAATGGCGCAGTGACGGGATAACGTCATTCAATTGTTACGTCATCAAAAAACTATACCTTTATTGTCTGATAATGTATTTTTGTTCGATTGTTCTAACCGCTAGGCATCTTAGAATACACTACATATGTCACTTTTTAACTATCCGTGAAGATCCGGGTTAGAATTGATCTTCAGTAACCAATGCTTTTCGTACGAGGCGACTAACGGGATCGGGTGGTCGGGCTCGCTGAATTGGTTGACACATGTCATCGTATCCCAGTTGCGTAGATCGATGCTCATGCGGTTGATCACTGGGTTGTCTGGTCCAGACTCGATTATTTACAGACCGCCGCCATATACACTCTAAACCACAAGTGTTCAAGCAGAACAGTGGACGCGTCCGTGCGTGTTCTGAATTGGAACACATAGGCCATATTTAGACCAGGCGTGTTCTGTTTCAGAACACATGTGTTCAAAGTCTGTGAAGTAGGTGTTCTAATTTCAGAACACAATGTGTTATTAAAAGATTGTGGTTTCGTAAATGAAATGACTAAAATACGTTTAACATAACCATCAACCCGTTTAGATATTTTAAGACAATGTTGAACATTATACAAGCGGCCATTTAAAAGGTTTTAAAAAACTTGATAACAATTTCTGTATTTTAACTTTAACCTTTCCTACCCAGAAGGAGAATAAAAAATACATTTCTTTTGCAAGAGGAAAATGATTCCTCAAAATGTTCTTAATAACTAGGTAAAATCTGCTTATATATGGTCTACAATTGATAAATAGCTGAATAAGCAGCCTCTAAAGTAGACTATCAGAACACATAGCGTTCCTTTACATTTGATGAAATGAACACTTTAGGACGGTATCTGTTCTGCAAGGTTTGATTTGATATCTTATCGGCGTGTGTTCTCATTAGAACAGCTGATGTCTAACAAAGTGACGTCATGATAAACATTAGCAGATGTCTCTTCCCCAATGCTACCGAAAGACTCCATCAGGGTGGCAAATCCAACAAGACCGCAAAGATGTCAATAATAGACTGACTGACTGAGTTTGGTTTTACACCGCGTTTAGCAATATTCCAGCAACATCACGGCGGAGGACACCAGAAATGGGCTTCACACATTGCACCCATGTGGGGATTCGAACCCGAGTCTTCGGCGTAATGAGCCAACGCTTTAACCATTAGGCTACCCCACCACCCCGTCAATAATAGAAGTTAAAGGGTGAGTGGTATATTAAAATTCATGTATTACATACTTTTATATCCTGTTATGTAAGGAAACTTATCATTAAGTAGGTGGTTACAAAGATTCTTCCACAATGTACAAACGTGAATTGCATAATGGAACCTGTTTTGTATTGACTAACACAAAAGCGTTTTTCGTATTTGTGTGTGGGTTTATCCACAGTGTTTATCCACTGGTAGGGAACTTGGTCACAGTGAGCGGAGTCTTTGTGATTTTTGCGACGGAAACTTTGTGGTATGTCACAGAGTCTTTGTGATTTTAGCATCAGCAAGGGAAGGGTAAGGTACGGTAAATGGCCTGTATGCCTACAAAATGAATATTACAGGAGTGTTGAATTCACTTTTACTTACAGTAGGTTTCCATCAGAAACAAGTAAATATTATGATGTTCAGAATACGACTGATAATCATGTAAAACCATTAATTGTCACGAAATTAATCCTTTTTTGATAAATAATCGGTATACATGTATTGTGACAAATGACCCCATAAAGAAGACCCGTGCCAGTTATATTCGGACACTTGACGAAACTTCCATACACCTACATGTTAATTTAGTGTAGCATAAATAATTTTCACGAATTTAATTTTCGTATGATCCAAGTCAAATTTTTGCACATTTGTGAGGAATCATCTTACCTACAATCACTTAATTTCTGTTTAATTTTCCGTTGCTTTTTTATCGAATGGCAACAATTTAATCAACATATGTACAGTGCCGTGAACTCTTTAACATGGCGGCCTATGAGATTGTGCATTGTGGAACTATACATAAGTTAATATATGTGATGTCATTAGTTAAATAGTGGTCGGAAAATTCAACTGAAATTATGTGCGCAGAGCAGAGATGATTTCAAATTTGCCTGTCAAAGTTTACAAAGATCCATCCTAAACTCACCTCATGAAAATTATTTATGCTACACTGAAAAATAACATGTAAGTCTATGGAAGTTACGTCAAGTGTCCGAATATAACTGGCACGGGTCTGTAGAACACTTTGGTTTACAGTGTAGCTGGGGTATTGCTGAGTGCGGCGTAAAACTAAACTCACTCACTAACAATCTATATGCTAATTGTTAACACACCGTATACCACTTGCTAAAAGGCTATAATGCATGCTATAATAGGCTATAATAATCAGCAAACTACATGCCCTTGTTTACAATCTCTGAGCCGCTTTTGAACAAACACTATATTAACAAACTACATATATCATTTGTTAACAAACTATATGCGGCTCGTTAACGAGATAAATGCCACTGATTAACAATCTCTGTACCTCTTGTAAACAAACTATTTGCCACCTGCTAACAATTTGAAACTATATACCACTTGTTAACAATCTACATACTACTTGTTAACAAACAATATACCAATTGTTAGCAAACTATATATATGTCGCTTTTTAACATACTATATACTACTTGTTAGCGAACAATATACCACATGTTAGCAAACTATATATCGCTTGTTAACATACTATATACTACTTGTTAACATACCACTTGTTAACACACTGCATACCGTTCGACTCACGGACGATTCAGAAGCAAGGCACAGACTGTCACTTCACCTTGTCACCTTGTACCACGATGTTGAATGTCCTGAAACGGGTTAACCTGCACGGTGTCATACTCGGGGTTGCTGACCATCGACCAGCTCGTCAAGTTGTTAATTAGATGTATTCAGCATTTCAACAGTTCCACCATGTTGAATGTACACCAATTTCTGCCACTTCACCCCTCTGTCAATCATTGTCACACTATTCTCGTTTCTGTTCTTCTCTTCTCATAGTCTCTCTTTCCCACCCATCCTCAAACCCCAACCGGTCTCTCTGTAAGACGACAATTAAAGAGTGACTGAGTTTAGTTTTACGCCGCACTCAGCAACATTCAAGCTATATGGCGGCGGCTTGTAAATAATCGAGTCTGGACCAGACAATCCAGTGATCAACATCATGAACATCGATCGACCTACACAATTGGGATACGATGACATGTGTCAACCAAGTCAGCGAGCCTGACCACCCGATCCCGTTAGTCGCCTCTTACGACAATCACTGTTTACTGAAGATCAATTCTCACCCAGATCTTCACGGGCCTTAAAGAAACATATTAACCTGTTACTCTCTGAAATGTGTTTTGTCACTCGCTCCCAATAGAGACCGCCTTCACAAGATCGGTTTGTCTAGCTCAGTGACGCTTAGTCTCTGAAAATATATAATTTTGATACAAACAAACGTTATGGTGTTTCTTTTAAAATGAAAAGAAGCCCCAGTGAAGAGGGAGATTCAGAACTTGGGAAAATCTGGACTTGCTTCATTTAGGGCTTTAGCACTGCGGAGAGGGATAGGTGGCAGGGAAGATAATGTGGTTCAGGCACTGTGAGAAAGACTAGGTTACTGCGCTGTGCGGAGTTTGGTCAACAGCCCCGTGGTGGAGTACTTAGGACCTACATTTGCAAGCTGCTTTGTTTTATGTGTTTATTGTGTTCATTGTACATATTGTATAAATCTTGTGTATATTGTGAATACCCAACAGTTTCATTGTTTTACGCCACACTCCAGCAATATTCCAGCTATATTAAAAATTTTGACGACGGTTGTCTGTAAACAATCTGGTCTGGACCAGACAATCCTGTGATTGACGTCATGAGCATCGATCTTAGCAAATGGGATGCGATCATATATGCCAACCAAGTCAGCGAGCCTGAGCACCCGATTCCCTTAGTCGCCTCTAGTTTGCATGGGTTTGCTATCTTAAAGGGCGTCACGGGTCACACATGATATCCATCATGAGACAGACAAGTCTTCGAGGGGCGGTAGGGTAGCAAATGGTGAAAGCGTTGTCTGGTCGCTTTCATCGGGTTCGACTCCACACATGGGCACAAAGTGTAAAGCTGCATCCACTGCATCCTCGATAATCTCCAGGGTATACGTTACGATCACTCTCCACTATACCCTGGATGCATCCACGGCTTTGGGGCGATGATTTTATTACCTCCCTTGGCTAACTCCGCATTCTCACAGTAGCCAATCAGCTAAGCCGCCGTTACAACCGAGCTTGCCAGTGTCAACAAAGATTGCGGTCGCAGTTGCAAAGGTTTGTTCGCAGTGCCACTCAGATTTTTTGGGAAATAATAAAGACAAATTCACAGATCTGAAACTTTAAAAAGAATATATGAAAGAACTCCTTCTACTTCCTTCAGAGTACCTCTGCATCAATTGTGTTGCCAAGTTTAAACGGTTAGATAATTTAAGACGCGAAAGTGAGGATTGATTGGTACGCTCAACTTCCCAGCGTAGGCACCTGACTAGATAAAAGGCCAGCAAAGGGAGGTAATAAAATCATCGCCCCAAGCCGTGGCTGCATCCAGGGTATAGTGGAGAGTGATCGTAACGTATACCCTGGAGATTATCGAGGATGCATCCACTGTTGTTGTCTGCAACCTAGGCCCCCTCTCTTCACACACCAACACCAAACACAGATACATGTGACACCCAGGTACTGATAGCTCTGTTTTTTTGAAATCACGATTGGCGTCTGTACAAATATAAATATGTAGACAACTATGATAGAAAAATAATAATTTATTAATGCATATTTACATCATATATATACATACATACAGGTTGGTATTGACAGCCGTAGTCGTGAAGCTGTGGAAAGCACACGAAGCAGTGGTAATCACGGCTGTACAGAGGTGAAAGACAGGATATATATTATGCAAACACGTTGTCAATAGTTTCAAACTCCACACAACGCTGCAACAAAAGCATACGCATAAATATCAACAAATGAAAAGTGTCGATTTAAACAACACTGTAATTTAGTTATTTCTAAATGAATGCACTCCTAAACAGTCGCATTTACACCTGACATTAACATATAAATGGATTTACAAAAATGAATAAATTAACGAATAAACAAGTGCAGAACTAAATAATGACAAACTGCAGATGTGAAACTTCATGAACAAGAGCAGTGAAGTATTTTAAAGAAGCATCATATTAAAATTATTGTCGATACATTCCGTTTTGTAATGGACGACAATAGTACAACACTATGCACTATGGTATTGGCTGAGCCGGGCGGCAGTTATATTCAAGGGAGATCACTCATGATGGACAAATCAGGCACACATTTACAATGCTGGTATAGAGCGCAGTACAACATGCGTCGCCCTTGCACAATTTACAGGAAAGCCGGAGCAATACGCAGCAAATGTCAGGTATTGTAAATCAGGTAGTAATTGCACCATGAACTTAATGCGGGACCCTAAAGTCACAGAATACGTGACACGAGGCATTCAGGAGCGTAATTTTAAGTTCCTCGCGTTCAAATACGTACGAAAACATTAAACTAACCAAATGGTTTCACAACGCTCAGCATAATTATTCCATGTCGCCACTTCAGGATATCTTTATTAACTCATCGGATGTAAACGTCCCACATACCATAACTCAACTGCAGTGAACTGTGCATAAAAGACGCAAAACCTTGTTATTAATAGACATAGAAATTGCTGTTGAGAGTTATGCGCTATGCTACAAACATGGGCAGCACGTGAACCAATAAACAGTGGGAAACTGAGCTTTAAAACGCGTTTTAAGAAAGTGCTATAAACAGGTGTAGAAATACGCTATAACCTAACTCCACTGGCGTGAAACCATACCCTTAGAGTGAGTGAGTGAGTATGGTTTTACGCCGCTTTTAGCAATATTCCAGCAATATCACGGCGGGGGACACAAGAAATGGACTTCACACATTGTACTCATGTAGGGAATCGAACCCGGGTCTTCGGCGTGACGAGCGAACGCTTTAACCACTTTCCTACCCCGCCGCCCCATGAAACTGACAATTTACAATGACTTACAATGATAAATTTGATGGTGGACAAGCACCTCGAGCGATGAAACTAATGGTGAACATGGACCTCGACTCATGAAATTAATGTTGGACATGGACTTTGAGTGATAAAACTATAGTGGACAGAGAACTCGGTGAAACCAATGGTGGAAAATGGAAATATGCCCTAATGGATATAACTATTGGCGAAACCATAACCCTCGCAGTGTTTGATAATTCCACAACATAACATAAACGGCGATTCTGCCATGGTTAGTTTTCACTCTTCCCTCTATAAGCGCCTCTATGCACTCGTACAAATGTTAGGCGCATGGACGAGAAGCGCCAAACTAAATATGACACTGCATTATCGACACACTTTGGAATGTCGGATAGAAACATAGAAAGAAATGAAACAAGCGTGTTTGTCACTTAAAAATAAATATTTCACATCCAGAGATATATACATTAATATTATACATTGTAAAATAAATGTCATTCAGCGACAGCTTGTATAACGGCACTGGATACAATGCAAACTGCAAACACAACTGTAACGGATTTCTGCACTTTGGTTTGCGAGTGTCTCTAAACCATTAATTACCTGTACATCGTCAGATGGTCACACGTGTCCGTGACATTCATTCATTGATTAGTAAATATTACATTCTCACATTCTCACAAGTCAGTCTCTCCAACAAATAATAGTATATCTTGTTTTATACAACCTTGGCACTTTGGGGTACATCGAAAGATCTTGCATTGAAATAGCAATTTTCAGTATCCCTGTATGTTACGTATCTTAACACAACTGTATGCAGACATAGACATCTTAATCTGCTCCGCATGCATGGACTAATGACATTATATTTGAGATCGACAACAACTACAAGTTATTGTTTACGACATTCAACGTCATCGACCAGTTTCTGTCATGACGTCACACCAGTTTCCATACACGTATATATATATCTGTGGCGTCCATGCCGACTGTTCAAAAACGTGTCACCCGGAATACGCGAGACAGACTGTATTTTACAGTCTTGTATTGGAAAGCAACCTGACATATTCGTATTTGCAACCTATTAGCTCTAAGAGAAATATTCTGATTCTCCTCCGCTGTCAGAAAATTTACCTGGAATATCGAGAGACTGTATACTGACCAACGGACCTTCGGCAAGTCAAAAGGTACAGTGAACTCTGTATAAAAGGAAGCTGGCTATAGAATGAAGACTGCTATCGTAATATATTCCAAATGTATTTGCACGTAAATCACAGTGCAGGGTTGACAAAACTGTCATTTCCCAAAAACTATTTTTATGTATTTGAAACTATAACTCGACTTTGACAAGACGGAAGCACAATAATATATAACCCCGGGACGGTACCACCACGCACATTGCCCTAATACTGAAATTATGAGCCATCACAGAGAACCCTTTGTAACAGAAACCAGAACTAATCAAGAAATCTAGGTCGTCTGAGTAGAACTGCACAGACCCGTTTACTCGACTAACGTTAGGGTTCCATCAAAGTCGACCTTTGTGGTATCTCGATGTTCTCCTCGTATGCCACACTTGCAGTACACCCAGCTACTTTTATTGAGCCGAAGCCGAATACAACTGACTCTCCGGCTTCTCTTGTATTGAAGAGAATCCGAAAATTATCAACTCCTAGATATCACTTCTATTGATCCGAATGCCAAATTACTAACTCCTCAACATCACTTTGATCCGAATCCAAACATTACTCCCTCCTCAAAAATCAGCGTTTTGCTGAATCCGAAATTTCCAACTCATCCACTTCATTTGTGTTGATCCGAATCCGATTGTGGCAAACGCCTTAAGAAAGGGCTTCGTTTCCTTGACACGACGTGATGACGATGAGGATGATCACTGTTACAGTCAACGTTGAAGAGTTGTGGAAGTGTATTTCACCAGTCCATATTCTCCTTTCGGAATGTGTGTCGGGGACTGTTTTTGGAGTAGAACTGTGAGTACCATCTCCTGTGTTTGGCGATAAGCGAGTCCTCCTTGGATTTCACGAACATCGGTCTTCCTTCATACCGTTTGTTGTTCCATATCATGACATCCCGCTCAACCTGCAACCATCAATAGATATATTAATGATCATGGCGTTCAGTGTGCAAACATCTATAATAATAAAAAAATATACTCTAACTCAATGGTGGACGATTTAAGTTGTTTTACGCTGCAGTTGCTAATATTATGGTCCAGTTAAAGTAATGGTGTACGATTTAACTTGTTTTACGCTGCAGTTGCTAATATTATGGTCCAGGTAAAGTGATGGTGAACGATTTAAGTTGTTTTACACTGCAGTTGCTAATATTATGGTCCAGGTAAAGTAATGGTGTACGAATTAAGTTGTTTTAAGCTTCAGTTGCTAATATTATGGTCCAGGTAAAGTGATGGTGAACGATTTATGTTGTTTTAAGCTTCAGTTGCTAATGTTATGGTCCAGGTAAAGTAATGGTATACGATTTAAGTTGTTCTACACTGCAGTCGCTAATATTATGGTCCAGGTAAAGCCGTGGTGGATGAATTGATTTGTTTGCACAGCAATCGCTAATATCATGGTCCAGGCAATAATGGTGGACAATTTAAATGTTTTTACGCTGCAATCGTCAATATCATGGTCCAGGCAAACCAGTGATGGACGACTTGTATTGTTTTACGCTGCAATCGGCAATATTTTGGTCCACACAAACCAGTTGTTCAATGACTAGCGCTTCTTGTACAAGTCATCTATTTTAGATACACCAGAATCTTATTTCGGTCACTTTCCACAAACGGTAGCGACTGGGCACCAGTTTTGAACCAGAGCAAATTTAAGTGAGCAAATTTAGCAATATTACAGCAATATCAAGGCGGGTGAGTGACATTTTACCCATGTGGGGCAGAACCCGGGTGTGATTTTACGCCGCTTTTAAGCAATATATATGAATGTCAGCAATATCACGGCGGGGGGCGACATTGAGTGTAATCACGAATGGGCTTCACACATTGTCACTGTGCCGTAAAACATGAGGGAGCATCAGAACCGGCGGGGACACCTTTGTGACGAACACGGCGAACGCTTTAACCACTAGGCTACCCCATCGCCCCAAAGCGTAAAACAACAAAAACAAACCAACAAACAAAAACAAAGTAGGATGAAATTAGGTCAACGTCGTGACGAGCTACGTTGCCAACGGTTCCTCGACCTACTACGTGATGGGGAGCACATCAAAGACATCAACTGTATAAGGCAACCGTCTCTGTGTGAGAGCTAACAGCCTTTTCCCGACGTCAATATCTCAATACAATAGTTAATATTGTATGTAGAAATCTTGCTACTATAAAATCGTTTTATGACAAAGAAACATGAGACCGTTATAAAACATTAATCTGTTGATCAGTTGAAAAGCAGATTCATCAATGTTTTCTATAGACAACCACAGACAATAGACACACGTCACAGACTCTGAATATTACATGATCTTGCCTTTGATTCCATATTGTGTTGTATTTCCTAAAAATATTAATTTCCTCTAACGAGTTTGAAATGTTGAATGCAGAAGTATTCTTTTATCATCTGAAAAGATGTATACGGATGGTTTGTGATGAAACGAATGTCATATACCGTGCGTCTGTTGAGTGAGTGCCCGGGTTCGATTCCCCACATGGGTACAATGTGTGAAGCCCATTTCTGGTGTCCCCGCCGTGATATTGCTGGAATATTGCTAAAAGCGGCGTAAAACTAAAACTCACTCATTCACTAACTGTTGTGAACATTTTAAGTCATGTCGGCAGTATTTAGGTCATTGGATGACTACAGCGTTTGTAAACGTAACGTCAAAATAAAATCCTAACAATTGATATATTGGGGATTACAATTTCTCAGCATAGAACAAAAATCTTGTACACGTTTTAGTTGAGTCCCACCCTTGATTCGATTCCACGCTCTCAAAGTGAGGCACCAAAACGCCCGCAAACAAAGTCAACGACCAAAGACACTCTACAAAGGCTTCCACAAAAATGGACGCCTGACAACAGGTTGTCAAGGCCACGTGCTTTATGTACCCGTCTGACAAGTTATGCTGGTACGGCTCCCATGGACGAAGATATTACATGATAATATAATAAAATCCTGTCACTAGAGGACTGTAAATCAACCAGTAATGTGTCACTGAATGTCACTTGAAACTAGTTGGAGATCAGAAAAACGCTGAAGTACAAAACAACAGCACAGTATAAAGGCCGGGCAATATGTAGGCAGCAGCTAACGTTTGACACCATACTGGGCGGTGGGTCTTACAGTCTCCTACCTTCATGGCTTTACACAAACATTCCAGCTGTTGATGGGAAGTGTAGTCGCAAATATAATTCACAAATATAATTGGTTTAAAAAAAGTGACAAAGCAAAATTGAACGAATATGTTGGTAGCGTTCATAAATATATTTCAATGATATGAATCTCACAGACCTCATTTCATGTGTTTTATGTTTCGGCAGTGTCTCCACTGCACATCATTGTGTGTCTGTTGTATGAGGTCATTGCGTGTCTTGTGCCTCCAATGTGTATATGTATGTGCCTGATTGTGAGTGTGGGATAATTATGTGTGTCTACCGTTCGGTACGCGTATGCACAAGTGCGTATGCGTTCTGCCTCGACTTGACTGTAACTTGGGCCGGTGGGGTAGCCTAGTGGTTAAAGTGTTCGCTCGTCAAGTCGAAGACCCGGGTTCGATTGCACACATAGCGTGAAACAACACTCACTCACTCACTCACTCACTGTAATATATCTGTATAGCCTCCCCGAACATGACGAACTTGGCGATGAATGTGGGCTCACTCACTCACTCACTCACTCACTCACTCACTCACTGTAATATACCTGTATAGCCTCTCCGAACATGAAGAACTTGGCGATGAATGTGGGCATTGTCCAGGAGACGTAGATGTTGTGGACGAGCTTCTGCACCATAGGCTCGATGGGGGTGAGACTCTGTATAAACACTCCTTTGCCAAACATGCTAGTGAACTCCAGATACACCACCCCGGGTCCGATCTGAAACAGGGGGGCACGGTCTTCACGTGGACAGGTGGATTCAAAACATCAAGACAATATCGATAAATACAGTCTATCTGCCGAAACACTTCCCGTTGGGCAAAAACAACAAACAAGTGATTTTAATTACATGAAGCGATCACTGAAAATCAGTGCTGACACCAGGTGTTAAAACGCTGCACCTGTGCACAACAATACAATTGTGCAAGACGCACGCTTAAACGATTGAATATTGTTGAACAACAACACCTTCCCAACAATAAGCGGTCGATGGCATGACCAAAGAAAGTCCTTGTCCATTGACACTGTCAGACAAGTAACTCATTTAATTATGCTTCAAGCTACATATTAGGACCGGGATGTAGCCATAGATAAGAAGATTAAAATGAACTGTCCACACGTGTATATATCCCTTATGCAATGAATGACGTACCTGTTGAGCGCAGATGTTGAGGTCGACTGGAGGGAAGTGGATGCCGAACATGTTGATGCTGTGCTGTAGCTTGATGTTACCGATGTGTCCATCTGGGGGAGACAAGGCATGCCACTCTGCGCACCACTCGTGTTTAGCGAAGCCCCACATCTTGTTCCACATGTGACGCAGGTCTATCCCAGCACCGATAAACGACCCGTGCACCTGGGCTAGATGCACCACGTCAGCACCGTTCTCAGGTATCTCCTGGGAACAGAAGGACAACAGGGTGAGGTTGAGGAGAGGAGGACGAGTATATCTTTTATAGAGGTGGAGGAATATGCCTTTACGCCTCTGTCAGGAACAGTCAAGCACTAGCAATTGTCCAGAAGTATTAAAACAGTATTCAAGCAATACTCAAGACATATTTCCAGCAATATTGTATAATGCTCTAGCAATATTCCAGCAATATCACGGCGGGGGACAAACGAAAAGGGCTTCACACATTGTACCCTTGTGGGGAATCGAACCAGGGTCTTTGGCGTGACGAGCGAACGCCTTAACCACTGCTCCAGAAGTTGTAGAAGTACTCCAGCAAACCTTTAGCAATATACCAATAATATTCCAGCAGTATTCCAGCGATACGCTAGCTATATCCTTGAATGAATACTCCAGCAATGTTCCAGAACTCCCCCCCCCCCCCTCCCGAAGTTAATGTTTGGCAGTGGCGGAGCCGGGGGGGGGGGCACACAGACAGACAGACAGACAGACACACACGTCCATGAAAATTCCAGGATCCGCCTATGCCAGCAGTGTAAGAGCAAACTTTCATCAGTATTCCAGCAATATTCTAGCAATACTTCAGTCATATTCCAGCAATATTCCAGAAGAATGCCAGTAGTATAGAATGACAGTAAATGGATATAACGTTTTCGGATAGCGGCGAAATAACACATATCCTAACAATATTTGACAAACAATTTCAAAAGTACAAGCAAAATGTCACATGCTCAAATACTACAAACATAAGGTCCAAAACAGAACTACGGTATCAAATGCATAACCAATCAAGTAACCATTTTTTGCTTGTATCATTTAAGCCACTATCAAACATGAGCGTGTTGCTTTCTCATTCCAGGCACTTTACTTTCATAACCGCTTGCGTGTGTACCATGTAATAGCCTTGTTTATTGTTGGTATCGGAGGAACGTAACAAGTCGAAACCTGGATCGATGGCGTTTAATGAGGTTTGGGTAAGAGTCAATTTGTATTAAAACAGGAACGCAGACTTTTATTACAGTGTGTTGCATAACACAGCAGTCAGCAATATTCAAGCTGGCCCCGGGAGTCAGAGAATAATCGTGTCTGGGTCAGACGAGCCAGTGATTGATATCATAGTTTGAAACTAATCCAGAGAACTGGTGTTAACCGGTAACCTGGGTTTGTAGCCAGCCATGTGTAAACAGGTGAGTGAGTACGGTTTTACGCCGCTGTTAGTAATATTCCAGCAATATCACAGCGGGGGACACCAGAAATGGGCTTCACACATTGTAAGGAAACGAACCCGGGTCTTCGGCGTGACGAGCGAACGCTTTCACCACTGGGCTACCCCACCGCCCCTCATCCTTAAACAAGGCATATGCTTAAATTATTACTTACATTTAATCTCAACTGGGTTTAGCTCCAATTGATAGAACGGACTCCGAGCCATCAAATGCTACTTGTCATTGATAAATCTTATATTTACATGTCCTCGGCCCAGTTTAGTTGTCACGGTCCAGCGGAGTAGTGTGAATGCTGAAGGAATCCATTTGGTCACCTATCATGACTTACCTCTATATGAGCGTTGATGATGTGCTCGCTTCGACCCCGGTACGTCCACGACCCGTTGGAGATCTCCTCCAGCTCCGGTAACATCCACGAGGGGTCAATGCCCTCGGCGTGGTGCCACAGATAGATCCATCCATTCAGCTCCGTCACCGGCCACGACTTCACCTTGGCGATATCAGGGACTGAAACACGGAATGGATTAGTTCGTGAGTACTTGAACATGCTCTAGTCAGCAAGGGTTGTTTCTGTGAGTGAGTGAGTGAGTTTAGTTTTACGCCGCACTCAGCAATATCCATGCCATATGGCAGCGACCTGTAAATAATCGAGTCTGGACCAGACAATCCAGTGATCAACACAGAAGGTCGCCACGTTTCTAGTTCTCAGCAACATGGGCAGTGGGATTCTAAGGTGAGGTGAGGTGAGGTGAAATTGGGTTTTACTTCGTGCTTGAGAATATTTCGCTCATATGACGATGTGCATGCGTGTGTATGTGTATGTGTATGTGCGGCTGCTTGTACTAGCCCAGACTTAAGCTGGCGTTAGAGTGCTAACCCACTGAGATACCATGCCGCAGTGAAGCATGAATACCCCACTCAGACACATTATACTGACTCCGAGCCGACCAGTCCTTGTTGTACCCATTAATGCCGAGCGCCAGGTAGGGACCAACAAGTACCATATTTTAACGTCTTTTGGTATGACGCGGTCGGGGATCGAACCCGCGACCTTCCGCTCTCCGGGCGGACGCTCTAACCACTACACCACGGAGGCGGTCGGGATTCTAAGGTATGTAATGTGGGATTTAGATCAAAGACGAGAGCATTCAGAAAAGTCCAGGGGACACAACTCTCCACACCACCACTGACCTGATACCTACTGAATATGACACAAGCGCTATCAAGAGTGACTGTGAAAGTAGAAAATGGGTACCCGGTGGGATAAGTCATATGACTAACCTTCCAGCGCCTCACAGGCAGCTTGGGTTATCTGGGGTAATGATAAACTCTCTGCGCTTAGAGCATGCTGTCGGTGTGAATTTAGCGCAATGTAAATGAACTTCTTATCATTATCATTATATGAAAGTATCTTGTTTCACTTAGGCAGTGATGAAATCTGCCTTCATTACTATAATTAGTCTGATGCTAAATTAGAGAGTGAGCTTGGTTTAACGCTTTGAAACGTTTTCAGTTACATGAGCCTGTTGGGGAAAGCCCAAATTCGTGATGGTCAACAATGCTTCAGTGAAACTCATAAGTATTATTATTATTATTATTTGGGGAGAGACCGAGATCATATGACTTGGGTACAATGTGTGAAGCCCATTTCTGATGTCCCCAGCCGTGATATTGCTCGAATATTGCTAAAGCGGCGTAAAACTAAACTCACTCACTCACTCACTCTCTCATATCACTTACTCTTGTCCGTGTAGGGGATGTGTGTACACTTGCCGTCCTCTCCTCGGAATCGCCAGGCGTGGTAGGGACACTCCAGAGTATCGCCGAACACCCGCCCCCCAGCCGCCAGATTGGCCCCCATGTGAGGGCAGTAGGCGTTGATGGCGTGCACCTCCCCTTTCTCGTCACGGAAGACGGCTAAGTCCAGTCCTGGGGAGAAATTAGAAATGTTGTTAGTTGAACAGTTTATCACTTATAGTCAATACATACACGGGAGCCGTGCCTGGGTATAGAGGGCTCTGACATGGTATCCATCGAGAGCTGAACCATAACTAATTATAGAGAGCTGATCCATGACTATCCACAGAGAGCTAAACCAGGACTATCCACAGAGAGCTGAGCTATCACTATCCATAGGGAACTGAACCAGGACTATCCACAGAGAGCTGTACCAGGACTATCCATAGAGAGCTGAACCAGGACTATCCATAGAGAGCTGATCCATGACTATCCACAGAGCTGATCCATAACTACCAATAGAGAGCTGAAACATTACATTACTTACTAACCATAGATAGCTGAGCCATAACTATCCATAGAGAGCTGAACCAGGACTATCCATAGAGAGCTGAACCAGGACTATCCATAGAGAGCTGATCCATGACTATCAACAAGAGCTGAACCAGGACTATCCATAGAGAGCTGATCCATGACTATCCATAGAGAGCTGAACCAGGACTATCCATAGAGGGCTGATCCATGACTATCCACAGAGCTGATACATGACTACCAATAGAGAGCTGAAACATTACTACAAATAGAGAGCTTAGCCATGACTATCCATAGATAGCTGAGCCATGACTATCCATAGAGAGCTGAACCATGACTATCCACAGAGAGCTGAACTATGACTATCCACAGAGAGCTAAACCAAACTATCAACAGAGAGCTGATCCATGACTATCCATAGAGAGCTGAGCCATGACTATCCACAGAGAGCTGAACCAAACTATCAACAGAGAGCTGATCCATGACTATCCATAGAGAGCTGAACCATTATTATCCATAGAAAGCATAACAAGGACTATCCACAGAAAGCTGAAATATTACTATCCACAGAACTGATTCATGACTACCTATTGAGAGCCAGTGTCACAAAACAATCGCTTATTTATAGTCCTCTTAATATTGAAGGGAAGCCCCCAAAGACACGTACGTGTACCCGGTGTTGACCAGCCAGGTAGAGCCCCAGCATGGGCATCGTGCTGAGTTTCAGGGGAATCTAGAATTCGAACCATTGATCAGCGGATCCCGGTGTGGTCAAGGGGTGCAACTCTGCACGGCCCCTCAGACCACATAGACGACGTGACACAGTTTCTCAGGGAGCGAACGCTAATAACCTTACCACAACCAGAAAACGTCGTCTTGAGTATACATTATAAATTCTACATCTGCACCTTATGTTAAATTGGATTCAAGGATGAAAAACTTTATTGCCTATTCAGGCCAATATATATTTTATGTCCGAGGACATGTCATTATGACAGACATGGTTGATAACACACGTCCCGTAAACAACACGCATATATCATACACCATAACACAACATCGTTGCTACGCCTTCAACCGAGTACCGTTAACAAAATTACGCATAACATCTACACGCTGTGTTTTTACCGTATTCTGCATAAATCAAACCCATCCATCCATTTGAGAGCGTAAAGGTTTGATTGAAGACAAATATAAAGTTAATTTGCGAACGCGTTAACTATTTACCCGAGACCTAATTCTTCACGTTACTGAAATAGCTACATTCTCAGTGCGCGATTTGTGTGTTAACTAAACATGGCTTTCATTTAGCTAGAGATTGCCAGTACAGCGATAGTCCTCAACGCGGCATGATTAGGCATATTGACAATCCTGTAAGAGGTGTCTCGCTTCACCAACATCATCATCGTCGCCGTCGTCGTCGTCGTCATCATCACCACCGTCATCATCATCGTCGTCGTCGTCGTCGTCGTCATCATCACCACCACCGTCATCATCGTCGTCATCACCTTCGCCGTCACTATCATCATCAACATCGTCGTCGTCATCATCATCACCATCATCGTCGTCGTTGTAGTCATCATCATCACCACCACCACCATCATCATCATCGTCATTATCATCATCATCATCATCGTCATCATCATTACCATCGTCATCGTCGTCGTCATTATCATCATCAACATCGTCGTCGTCATCATCACCACCATCGTCATCATCGTAGTTGTTGTCGTCGATAACTTCCAAATCATCATCATTATCATCATCTTCATCATGACCCTCATCACAATTATTGAACACAATTCTCACCAATGATCCAACTACATGACAGCGGATTGGAAACAATCGAGTTTGAAACAGATACAACAGCCCAGTGTCCGACGCTGTGAGGCGACACTCTCTTATTGCTACGCTACTCAACAGATGTAAAGGGCCACCCGATTTTCCCATATTGATACAGTTAATATGTCCGTCCATGCCGTGCAATAATCGGATGGCTCATTTTTGAGCAGCATATTTTACCCTTTGATGCATTAGTGAGAAAGATTTAATTATGGATAAAGACATACTACTTTTCTTATTAGCAAAGTTCAAATAATTCTGCTGTTAAGTCGTGATCGGTAGCCAAAATACTACTAATGATGCGTGAAGTGATTCATTAACTGTTAAAATATTAACGTATTCTGACGTCGGTAATCCGGACGATCCCTTGATGATGTCGCCCGGATTAACAAATTACCGGATTAAGGAAGGAGTGAGTGAGTGAGTTTAGTTTTACGCCGCTTTTAGAAATATTCCAGCAATGTCATAGCGGGGGACACCAGAAATGGGCTTCACACATTAAGGGAATCGAACCCGGGTCCTCGGCGTGACGATCGAACGCTTTAACCACTAGGCTACCCCATCGCCCCAATTAAGGAAGGAAATAAAATAGAGATGTACAACTTCTTTATTAAAGTGAGAGCGACGTAATAAAGAAGCTGTAGATATATATATTGTTTCCCTTCCTTACTGCTCCAACTCCTGAATGCCTCTCCAAGAAGTTAAATTAACACATCCTGATATGAACGAATGCATAAATGTGGACTGAATTTGGGGTGTCCGGAAAGAAGGTGTCCGTTGTAAAAGGGTTTCACAGTATATCCCTTGTACGTGCCAAACATACTGTTTACAGGTTAATTTGTCGGCATTTGGCATACCAGTCACACAGTCAGCACAGGCTGGTAAACACGTTCAACATCACCCTGTGCTCGAGCGTTACATAGCTGTGGTGCAACACTGTAAATGTTTACCACCAGGACCGTCTAAAGAGCAACCCAACCCCCCAAACTTCCAAAGCATTCTTTCTTGGTTTTGAAAGGTTGTCATTTTCGATGTGGGAAAAAGTTTATCTGTTTTCCCCTTGAGGTCAAAACTTCCATAGTTGTTATGACAAGAATGTTTGTGGCTAGTGTTTCCTTTGAATATAGTTTCTGTAACATTGATAAAATCACGAAAGTTATTTTTAAAACAAAACCCAGACAAGATCGCACCGCAGATGACGTCTTGAGACTAGACCTACTAGTTACGCTGATGAAGATGCTAAATCTTTCCATAAAATCAGTGTTTGTCGTGTGCTTAATTACAACAAACGGATTCAGTGGCAAATAGGGCTGTAACGATGCTTAATAAACTATCGATGGATTGCAATTATTGAGTCTCCGATAGCAAGTAATCGATGGTAGAAACGAAAACTATCGATGCATCCACAGTATGTGTGACTATCGATAGTTTAGTTATTGACCTCCGTTGATAAATGCGCAGCGCAAAATACAGGATGTTTGGGTGCAGACTTGCAGCTTCAATGAGTTTATGTTTTAACTGTTTACTTGATCTGGGTTTCAAGCTTCTTGTCAGTTATTAGAAGAGATTGAAACTACCTCAACTTGTTTTTATTTCATATAAACTGTACATTCATTTGGGAAATAACTTCAAATGAGACAATTCAAGGAGAAAACATATTTGCAATAGTATTGGCAATAGTTGGTCGCAATAGACTATCGCTGTCGCAATTGTATGTTGTAATAGACTATCGCTATCGCAATAGCTGTTTCCCCCTCAATAGTCATCCCTAGTGGTAAACTATTCCCAGCGTCTGGAGTGTAAAATAATGAAAACTGAAAATATTTACCTGAATGGTATTTTTTTATTTATATGGACTACAGCGCCTAGGGAAGACAAGTCCTTATGTAAGATTTATGTGCAGAGTCCGTCATGTCCATAACACGAACATAAATTTTAACTTGAATCTTCACGTCCGTGTTGGAACGTTCCATTGTCACCTTGGGGTGAGTTAGGTAGTTCACTAGAGGAATGGAATCAGTGAGTGAGTGAGTTTAGTTTTACGCCGCGCTCAGCAATATTCCAGCTATATGGCGGCGGTCTGTAAAAAATCGAGGGATCAACAGCATGAGCATCAATCTACGCAATTGGGATACGATGACACGTGTCAACCAAGTCAGCGAGCCTGACCACCCGGTCTCGTTAGTCACCTTTTACGACAAGCATGGGTTACTGAAGATCAATTCTAACCCAGATCTTCACGGGTCAGGAATGGAATTAACCTCAGGCACCTTATACCTGCACCCTGTTGGCCACCAACGTCGCCTTGGATACACTTCTGCTTCATATATATCCTCCATGGCTCCCAAAAGGAAACTATACAAGTGTAAGTTTCAGCTCCATTCGGTGTTGGATTATATGCCATTGTCGTCCCGAGGAAACATTAAGTACAACTGCTAAATGATGGGAGGTTACCTCGGTCAACACGAATTTAGTTCCTGCTATGAATGTCGGTTTGAGAGACACAGTTGTCTCGTGACTAGTAAGTCAAAACTGGGTCTGGGTCTAAGTGATGATGATGGTGATGATGACTGACTGACTGAGTTTGGTTTTACGCCGCTTTTAGCAATATTCCAGCAACATCACGGCGGGGGAACACCAGAAATGGGCTTCACACATTGTACCCATGTGGGCATTCGAACCCGGGTCTTCGGCGTGACTGGTGATGATGATGATGATGATGATGATGATAGAAGGGGACGCCTAAAGCATGACGTGTCAATGTGTCCAATCATGCTGCCGAGTATATTTAGACATTTAGTTTCATTAAGAGAAGTAAA